ACATTGTAGTTGAGAGCCCAGCCAGTTTCCTAACTGTCTAACTCACATTGCTCCCTACATTGTTAAAAATGATCAGATATTTCACCAATTCTTAGGGAGCTTCATTGGCTACCTTTGAGGAAATGTGTAGAATTTAAGATTTTACTGTTGACATACAAGTGTCTTCATGCCATATCTCCAAGTCCTTTGGAACAAGCTACCTCAATATGTGAAAGAGGAAGGAACTATTGCAGAATTCAGAAAGAAACACAAGACACATTTCTTTACTTCAATATAACATCATATCTGTGACAGACAATTAACTCAGCGCCATTGATCAGTTTACTGGATAATAGGCGCTATATAAATACATTATTATTATTATTATTATTATTATGACAAAAGATATACGCAATAGTGTTACAACATGTGGAGTAGTGACAAAGCCCAATTATTCACCTGATAGTTATATTTACTTCAATATAACATCATATCTGTGACAGACAATTAACTCAGCGCCATTGATCAGTTTACTGGATAATAGGCACTATATAAATACATTATTATTATTATTATTATGACAAAGATATACGCAATAGTGTTACAACATGTGGAGTAGTGACAAAGCCCAATTATTCACCTGATAGTCACATGGCGGAAATTATAATGCCTAAAACGTGTGGTCATATTGTTTTTAATTTTTGGTACATGTATTCTTTTTAAAAGTACTTGTCGACTAATATATTATAGTTCTTGACTTCACTCACTTAATGCATATATTTATAGACATGGGGTGATATGTCTGTGACATTATTTCTTACACCCTTTATTTAAAAAACAATGGCCAATGATTAAGTTATAAACAGGTTATTCATATCCTAAGATGTATAATATCATCTACATGTAAAGGTATACAATAGGCCTATGGCAAATATGCATGTTTTAGCTTTAACTTGACGGACAAGTCACAATTTTCTTCACTATCTCTGAAAAAAAGTGTAAATACCATGAAATCCATGCTAAAATCTGAAGAAATATGATACATTGTCTGAAAGATTCTGCTAAAAATGACTGATAAAAACATTTTAATAGGCTTATGTCACTGTTTTGAACAAAAAAATCTCAAATTTATCATTTGATGACATGATAATAGTGACTATTTGTACTGTTTCCCAACCAACCTCACAACTGGATGTTAGTATTTCCTTGAAACTGTATCACAGAGCTTCAGATAGATGCTAAGAACTAAATGGACATGTAGGTTAAAGAGTGCTAATGGCTTTTCACACAGCATTAAGCAGTTTTATTCACTGAAATATATCTAGTATACCTATTTAAAGTATGTAACCATCTTTGGGGATGAATTTTACAAATGATCCAAATAATTGTGGCACATGTCTGTGAGTTTTGAAAGAGGCCCTTTAAAAATGAAAGCATGGTTTGTGGTTTACACGTTATTATGAGTCACAGGAAATTGTAGGAAGTAAGTTTTTCTATAGTCAACTTATTTTACTGTTACCTCATGTTTTTATGAAGTTTAGGAATTTGGTCAGCTACACGTACTACTAAATTAGGAAATAAGGACCGGTACCTCCTATAATGCTGACAATATAATATTTTATTTGACACTAACTGGAAGAAAAGCTTTTTAGTACCGGTTATAATGTATATCGATAGTCTTGATCAGGCATGAAACTTCATGGGTACGGGACAATTCATTCCCCGACAAACCTTATCCCCAGACAACTCATACCTGGACATTTCATCCCCTGGCATTATTTGTACCCCACCAATTTGTCCCTGAATACATGTTATTTCTAAGTGCCAGGGGAACTTTAAAGTGCTGCAAATAATATGTACAGAACCTCAGTTTTCTGTCTCAGTCTCACCCAAACAAGTGCACACTTTGTCCCTACCAGGCCATACTGAAACCAGCTGGAATTTCTTGGCTAGCATCAGAATCGTCCCATGGACCTCCAGGTTAGTGGAGTAGTGCCATACTCACTGAGTCACTGTGGCTTCCAGAGCACATATAGATCAGTATAAGCAATAACTCTGTACAAATAGAAGACCAGTAATTAACATTGACAGTAGAATGATAATCTGTAACAGATAGAAACCTGCAGGATGCCTCAGATAACCAGACCAAATTCTTGGATCTGGTTACCCAGTGCTGCTAATAAATTTTCTGGTGGTTGTCATGACTAATTAGGTCACTGACCGACTTTGTTTTGTTAGAAACAACTAATACGGATGTGAAAGAAATGTTCATTCTATGTTTTTGGTTTGTGGTGCACCTGTTTATAGCAGTTTTGCCTGATGAGACTGGGATAATATTATTTTACTTATGTTGATCCTAGAGCACTTGATTACGTAATCTTTGAATAAAAAATGTGCAAGGAGTGGTAGTAATACATGCTTATAATGTCTGCCATAATAGATAAAGTAATAAAATCTTATCAGTTATTATATTTTTAAAAGATACAATTATAAGGGCTTTTGCAAAATAATATCGTAATAAAATGGAAGCATTGAGGCTTTACATATCCTCAGCACGAGAAACATAACATGTTTATTTTTATTCTTCCATTTTTAGTAATCCTATGTAAAGTTGTTTTATACTTGAGGTTTGCTATTCTATGCCTACTCACTCAATAGTCCTGATACCTCTTCTCAGTTGAGATGTGCACATACTAGTAAACACATATATATTTTTATGACATAAAAAGTAGGCATTTTTTTGATAGAATCACACATGTTTATGATTTTTCCCGTTTCGGAAAATAAAAATACAGTCTTTATAATGAAATCTAGAGTAATGAAGGAGCCTTCAGTATATGACATATTCTCAGCCAAACCAGGATGACTGAGAACAGCCACATGGCTCAATCTTAGCACTGGGTTAGGATAGCTTCATCAGTGTTGGCTCTATCATGGTAACAAATTTTGTAGGTGCAAGTTCCAAAAATGCTGACTGATATAAATTATAATCATTATCCCTAAGGCCATGATAAGTTAAAAATATATTATATTTATATCGCTTGGTTGGTACCAGTGGCACTACCATAAGGTGTAGCAAAAGATGTAGAGGGTAATCAGCAGTAATATTCTTTTCAATCCCACTCAGTGGATGTTACTTTAGATTTCAATAACATTATTTTGTTTTTAAAGTTACTCTTAATATTCTGCTATAAAAATGATGAATGAAAAAATAATCTATTGCATGAAGTCTCCCTTCATGGTATTATGGATGCATTAACTTTTGGGTGGCACAAGAGTACAAAAATTTAAGATGTTGACCCAGTATTGCACACTTTATATAGATAATTTCAATGTTTATCTAACGTAGACCCTTAATATTTAGACAAATATAAGAACAAGTGGTGATATGAACTATTATATTTGCTGAAAAGATGTAAGAAACATGATGATGTCAAAGATAAATGTTGAGTTTGCTTCTTCTGTTCTGTAACAAAGTTGTAAAACAAACAAAACTTTTGACAAATTTTCATGTGAAATAACAATACAGAATTAAGGTACAACTGGAATTTAACCTATGTTGGCGTGATTTTATTTTTTTTCATGCGTGTTTTAAAGCCCTACCCATTCGCATATACATAAGTGGGTGGATTGAGTTCAAAATTCTAAGAGTTATGAATTTTGCACCAACATTTTGTGTGAGATGGTGTAGAACACATTTGAAATGTTGGTGGTAGCCAGACAAAAAGAATGTATTCTTTGAACAGCTGTTAGGGGTGTGACTTTTAATTTGGTTAACTTGATATATGAGATAGGATGTGACATATACCAGGAATAGGTGGTTCACTTTATTCCGTTAAATAGTTTTAAGATATACAAAAAGCTTTAAACACACCATTATTCACAACACATGTTCTTGAACACCTAATTCACAGCATTCTATATATTTAGCATAAACAATGTGACTAATTAAGTTACAACTCATGCAAAAAAGTTAAACATTCAAATTTGAAATTGTAGTATTAACCCTAAGCATTATGTTCCAGTGCATGTTTTCCGTTAGAATATTGAAACTTTCATTTTGGTTATGTCATGCATCGGAGATGTTGAAACATAATTCAAATTTCCTTTTGAAGTTTTACATAAAAGCCTTATTCAACAATCCACACACAATTCAAATTTATACTTTGAAATTTAAATTTAAAAAAGAAAAAATGTCTTAAACAATATTACTAGTAGCTTTCGCATCCTACAGATTTTCCTGTCAAACAATAACATAGATCTAAGTCTAAGAAAATTACAAACGATATTTATTTTCACACAAAACCACAAACAAGTTAAAATATGTTTAACATGTTAAAAACAATAAATTTATACACAAAAACTTCATAATTTGTTAAATGTATTGTTGCATGAATGTTATTGTTATGCCATTTGGTACATTATTTCATGTACTCCCATCATATTTTAAACAACTGTCTTTTCTTTGAAACATGCATTATGCAAGAGCTACATCTGCCTATTTTAGGTCTATCGTTGGGCCTGAAATGTTATATAATTAGACATTTATTAACATGAAAAGACCTTAATCAACTCTCAGTGCCATCTTATGTGTCAGATTTTCTCTGGATTTGAATCCAATTTGCTGCTCAACGCTCATTCATGATTTAATCCAAAACTGGATAACGAGACTATGTTTTTTATCTTACTGACTTTAGTAATGATGATCGAGACTAAGCCTAAAATTCAAACACTAATATCTCGGTTCAGAGTGGAACAATTGACTGAAATTTTTCAGCATATTTCCTTTACATTATCCAGTTTTTTAACTATTATAGTGAGAACTGCCAGCTCTTTAACAAATCTTCCATAATGTATCTTTAATCTTATTGTTTAGTGCATAATTACACAAGAAACAAGCCCTGTCAGTTGAATGAGTATATGTGGACAAGGTATCTATTTTAAGCATGTACATATTAAAATGCATGTAAAAGTCGCCTTATTCGAAATAAAATTAAATATTTTAAAATTTCTTTTTACAGCAAGATAATGTTCCGTATAGATGTGGAGTAGATTGTCAAAATAGGCAGGGGGGATGTAAATGTATAGGAGAAAAAGGATCACGGGTAAGTTACATCATTTTACTTCAAATTGACTTTCTGAACCCTTTCAATAACTGTAAATGAAAAATAAAATAATGTCAGAATCATTTGACTTTAATTAACACAGAATATTATTATCTGTTGACTAGCTTGTCTCAAAGAGTTTATGCCATCCCCTTGTAATTGTTTTACTCTTGGTCTGATATCACATAAAACATTAGATTGAGTCGATCAGTTGTGTTATTTTCAGATTAGTAATAAGTCAATCTCTGTGCACAATTAAAGTGTTTTGAAAGATTAAGCTAAAATCAGCTTACTTTTCAATAGCCCAACACATATAATTATAAGTTTATGTTGATTGCACTTTGTGATGATTTTTCATTTTGTGCTCTATGATGATAAAACACCTTGTACTCTATAATGATTATTATGATGGGCTCTAGGATGATTTTTTAATAAAAATATTGCTGTTATTGTAACATCAATATTTATAAGTAATGTTTCTTTTATGCTTTTCATGGCAATTCTATAGAAACATCTGTAACTCCCACCTGTTGTTCACTAATCTGTATTGTCATTTTGTCATATCTGATCTTTTCAGGGTAGTTTTGGCCCAGTGGGTCCCCCAGGTCCTCCTGGTAAACAAGGCTTTCAGGGTCCAGAGGGATTATTAGGTCCTAAAGGAGAACCAGGTGAAACTGGACCTGTAGGTGGTCGAGGTGACAAGGGAGCTCGGGTAAGTTCTTAACTTTATCATACTATGCACATGTAAGTAGCATAGATATATAGATATATATTACCGTATATGCAAATTCAAGGATCTATTCCCCAAAATTACCAGATTATGCTGTAGATCATCATTTCAAGTTTTCATGAATTTCACTGAAATATGTTCTACATCCTTGACAATAAAAATATTCAAATGTTTACATAAATGCCTTAGTATTACTAAGAGATTTTCAGGAATTTCAAAGAGGGATGCTGAAATTTGAGTAAAGCCCAATTATTTCATGAGTTAAAATGCCTCTGGTAGACTGACATAGTTTAAATAGAACTCACGCGGTTGAATTGCGATTTGGCCCAATTCAGGTTCTTTATAAGAGTTCTAGTGTCTTTCTATATCAAGACATGTTTTGGCATGACAGAAATGTCAGTTTTTGTGTAAAATTAAGAAAGAAAAAATATAAGAATTTTGGTTTCGAGAATGTGTTATCAATCAATAATAATTGTTAAATAATTCCAGTTAATGTAAGAAAATTCAAAATTTAGATACCAATTTGTACCATAAACATTGAACACACTTATATTAGAGAACTAATTCCCAATGGATGAAAAAGGAAATATCAAACTACAAAAAAACAACCACTTGATGATGGTATCCTCAATTGCAGGAATAGTTTTGACATAGACATGTGAGATAGTGTGTTCTAGAAACAGGAACTGACCTATAAGTTATGTTTTCTCAGACAGTGTAGTATAACACTATGATATGTACTTGCCATAACTTGCGGTAGTAGAAGTGTCTAATCAAATAAATATAAACAGGTTTTACCTTGCCACACCTTACGTTATGCCAGATGTAACCTCGTCATTTTCTATCTTTATCAGAGGCTTTATATTAGATTCTATATGATATACAAGTGAAAAACAGTCATTAGGCGTCTATATGTCATCCACGATTTCTTGTGAACACTCTACAGACTACATTTATCATCCTATCTTTTTAAAGATGCATATATGTTGTTAACATTAGTAAGATCTAGAAGCCTTGTGCATTACAGATATGCCTCATAATAACACCCAGCATTATTGCCCTTGATCCCTTTATTTAATTTTTTTTAATGTTCTGATGACATGTTTATCACTTGATCTGTTTTTTAATTTATATGCATTTTTCAAATACAATGTAAGTGACAAAGAAAGAATCCTATGTAATTTCAACAATTTCTGTGTAATTCGTTGCCTGAACACCTATCTTTTTTCTATTAAAATGATTTATTCAAATTTAAAGAAATCTAGAAAGCTGTTTTGAAAAATATTTTGATTTGGTGAGGTTTCATACTCCTCGCAGTGTTTGGTTTCATTAGAACCACCCCCACTACACAGGTATTTATTGGGCCCTTGTTTCAGGAAGGATTTATGCTCAATGTAAAAAATTTTGTACAATATGAAAACACTTTAGGAAACATGTTTGACATCAATTTTTAAACTAATTTTTTCACAGCTTGTAATTGCCATGAATTTGGAATAAGCAAGGAAGTGTACATGTAAATGGCTTCCATTCTTGTAGTCGAGAACAATATAAATAACATAATTTTCTAATTGTCGTGAGTCAAGGCCATTTGAAAGAAACATTTTATTGTGTAAAAAATAAATCAGGATATTATTTTATCCAGTTAGAATAATGTCTAAAATTTAACCCTAGCATTAGGTTAACTGGAATCAACATTTTTTGCTTGGTTGATCTGTAAAAGCTATCTAAACAGTATAATGATGCTATACATGAGCTTCTACCCTTACTGCCACAGTAGGTTAAAATCTTGGCTAGAAATATAAAGATAAGCTGGGAATCCATTCACTTCTCCCATTCCTTCATGAATGAAATCAGTAAACTCATTATCGTCTGAACTACAAATTTGTTAGGCTTTAGAATGCATTTAAATAAAATTTGGGTGATGAACAAGTCCTCTTTGTACTGTTAAGGAGAGAAAAAGCTGTAAATTATTAAACTTTATCAAGAAACTATATATGATGGGTAAAGAAAACACGGCTTCTTGTTAAAGATAAGAGTAAAAGGACTCAGGATTGTAAACCAGGAGGAAAAGGGGTATTAACCTAAACAGACCATGGTACCATGGTATCAGGTTACAATAGAAACAGCTGTTAAAACCATAGTTACTGTTACTTGGGCAGACCTCCAATTACATGTAGGCTTTACTATTCTTACTAACTTGTCCTAATTCACAAATCTATTAACTCACAATTCACCTCCTACAATTTCTTTTCAAAAAGTGCTAAACTACCGGAAAAATTTACAGTTCTTGGGATGTTCTCCTCTGCTCAGTAATAAATGGCAAAATTATTTCTTACACATGTCACAATTGAGACATTCACATATAGGTATAAAATAAAATTGTTTTAATGGAATGGTAACTGATTAGTTAAAAGGGGAGACACAACACAAGGCCCCCATCTCTCATCCTGTTCACCTCACAGTTTATGTCTGCTTTAATAGACCCCAAAACTAAAATGGGAACCTTTTGCGTGTTTGTGATCTTTGTAGCAGAATGTGCTTTCCATTGAATCTCTAGGTTTCAAAAATCTGACCAATGATATGTTAGCCCTTCTCTGACTTCTGACCATAAAATAGTGCAAATTTGGTAAATGGTATAGCAGTGTCTCAACCCTATTACGTACTTACATGTATGTGTATAGATTATAGAGGTACGGTTAGGATAAATAAAACCCTTTGTGAACTTAACCTCTATGGCTGAAACATTGGTCTACCATGAACTATATTCACAACAGTTTTACATATTCATGTATAATAAAAATCTTAATTCTATCCCAAGCCATTATGATTTAATGCATATTGATGTATTGTTTATTTCAGGGTAAAATGGGATCCCCTGGATTCCCTGGTATCAATGGCATTCCTGTAAGTATTACTCATATATAGCTATAATATACAAAAGTCTGTCACACTTCGTTAACATTTACAAAGAGTATATATATGCAGAATTAAATAAATTGCAGTAGGCATATTTTCAGGAGTTCAGGTATAACAAACAGCAAATAATGTGTAGGCCAACTCAACATGAGGAACAAAATTTGACTTTTAGTTCAGCACATATAATGGTAAATGTATGAATATTTTGGGTTATTAATTTTAGGGTATTCCTGGTCCTGCTGGTCCACGAGGCATGACTGGTTTAGATGGTTGTAACGGCACACAGGTAAGTGTTCAAATATTTTGGGAAATATCTAATCATGTGCATACATGTATATATTGTATTAAGTTTCAGGATTTTAAACAATGGCAAACATTGTGGGCATTATGATTGCATTAAGCCTTAGGGTGTGAAAAGGTTTACGAATACGTAATAGCTTAAAAATACCATTTTCTGACCATAAGAGAAGATGGAAACCCTTTGAAACCAACCTGCTGTTGGTCCCAGTAACTAACTGTGTCAGCCCTTCAACCCACTTTTACACAATACACATCAAGTCAGTACCAGATCAAGGGGGGGAGGGGGTGCAAAGTGGGACAAATGTCCCGGGCCCCCCACAATTCTGGTCATACTAATATTTTTTCCCGGACGGAGCCAACCAGTACCTGGGCTGAGGGGGTGAGGATTGGGGCACTGGGCAGTAAGGGATATTGGGGGTCCCAGACACTCAAGGGGGCGGAGTACATACTAGTACGATCCACGGTCAGTACGAACAATTTGAACAAATAACAATGGGGCCCCCGCACACTTGGTATGTCCCGGGCCCCCCACAAGGTTAATTCGGCACTGCATCAAGTAACAAACCAAGACCAACTGTTTTCTTCTTCAATCCATACATGTTCACTTTACACATATATGCGTAATGAATTTAGATGTTGGGCATTTGAAAATACATTGAAAAAGTATTCAGAGATTTATGAGTCGGATGTAATTATAAATGAATGATCAGTTGACTTGATGTCTGGTAGAGAGGAAAGCACCTGTTAATCTTTACACTCTTTCTAACTTAAACATAAAAAAAATTCACATCAGCAGTTACTTATCAGGCTAATGGCAAATTCATTTTATTTATGAGATCCTTGAGAATTGCTTTTAACTAAAACATTTCTCAGCACAGATAGGAATTTAATTGTAGATGTAGTTAATTATAATGTAGTTATCTTGATAATTAAATAAATAGCAGAGTTTATAATACTACACATTCTCATATAATTTATCAATATATTTCTCAAGATAAAGAGGAAATATGAGCTGAAGCCAATAAACTTTATAATTTTTTTAAACCAAGACAAATAACGGCTCGAAAGTGTCTTTGAATTACGAAAATTGGTAAAATATGAATTCAGATTTAAGATACCATGCTTTAGATATACATATTTATCCCTTAAAAGAAATATTAATATAAATTCAATATGGTTGCTTTGAAATCAAATGTAGATTAAGGATTTGGATGTTTACTTACATCCTGGCTATTACACATTATGGTTACTTGACAGCAACAGACATGGCACATTATTATATACAACTGTCATTAACTAATCAGTTCAACATGTTGCCTGTAACAGGAAGCTAATGTGTAAATTGTCAGCTATGAAAAGAATTTCAAAGGGGATGAAATGTATGGGATATTTGAGACAGTTTAACTTGAATTTCCAGCATTTTTAGACAAATGACCCTTGTGACCTCTGCAAGATGCCAGCTGGGTCAGTGGAGAACAAATTTTACCAAATTCCAGGCCAAGCTAAATGACTTCCTCCATGCATTTAATAGTTGTGATATCAAGGCTATCTGGGCTTTTCTTGAATTTGTGAAATCTAATAACATAATAATATCATAGTTAATCTTTATATTCTATCCTCAAGAAATTAAATTTGAAAGGAAATATTTTGCAAACAGTAATTTTTATTTGAAATTCTGTCAGGAAACTTCAAATTAAAATGTGTTGACCTGATTCCTTTGGTATGCTCCACAGTAGGCATATGTAATACCCTATTAAATGTGGCCTAATACTGCCTTAGGGAGAAGAATGAATTATGGCTGTTTATGGACTTTTTATATTTATATAAAAAAGCAATAATTGAAGCAAAAAAAAAATCGAATTAATAACTATTCTAAATTTTCAATTTACATGCAACACAAACCATAATTGTGTAAAGAATATTTTTTCAGTCCACCAGAGGGATCCTGTGCAGGCTTACTTTAAGATTTCTTTTGGTGCTTGAGTTCAGCCAAGCTTAAACTGGCATAGAAATAAATAGAAGATGAAGGGGATGTTATAGGTTTTTTTAATGAGTAGAACAGATGCTAACTATTTATCACATGGTGATATAGTAGACTACATTTACCTTTATTAAACACACCAAGATAACCAAACCTTGTCTTCCTATCAAGATTCTATAGTTAAAATCTCCTTGTTTTTATGGGGGGGGGGGCCCGATGGTTTAAAGAGTGCGTTAAATCACAAGGTCTGTCATTAAGTTAAGTGGCGTGGTTTCAACTCCTCGCTTGTACGTGACTAGGAACATTAGAATAGCAATGTGTACACTGTAATAAATGAGAACATTATAGTGTCATTTACATATACACAAATGTTTCATAAACCTTAAATTTGTGATTTGTAGGGAGAACCTGGTTTTCCTGGTAATTCTGGTTTACCTGGTTTAGAAGGTCCACCTGGTATCCCTGGTCCTAAAGGTCAGAAAGGTGAATCTGCACGTGATGGTATTGCTATAAAAGGACAAAAGGTAAGGGCAATAATTCAATGATTCTGTTTTTATTTGGCGAGAGATCACCAATTGTTTACCCATGATGAAATCAGGAATACTTGATGACCTCTGTGTCAATTTAATAATTGTTTAATTTGATTGAATGGTCCTAAGATATCTCTGAAACAAATAATATCAATCTGATCGTTAAATTAATTTGTGCATTGGATATCAAAACTAAATTAATTTGGTGGTTTTGGCCATTTGATTTTGATTTCATGAAATTTATTGTCTTCTGAAAGGGTTAAATTAATTGCTTTCTTTATTTTTTTTAAACAGGGACAGCCTGGAGCAAATGGATTACCTGGTATATCTGTAAGTAATTTCAACTGAATGTCCTGTTTCTACCCACTTCATTTCTTTCAAGTCGGTACCCATCCGGGCTTACATTGGTCCTATTTAAAAGTTGTTAGCACAAGTAAATGAGTCTTTGGCAATTGAAATTTGGAAGAAAAGTATGTAAAATGCTTCTGCCAGGCAAAATTCTCTTCCTTTGCATTACACAAATAACTTGATAAAAAGATACCATGCCTCACTCACTCTCAAGCTGACACCAGTGCATATGTTGTGATTAATGGTCTAGGAATGTCCTGTTTATAATATGTACAATTTTTATATTATTAGGGATCACCAGGAGCTGATGGCCCAGTTGGTCCACCTGGAATGAAAGGTGATATTGGACCTAGGGTAAGAAAATTTTTATTTTTAGAATAAGCTACATCAGTATTGCTTCCAGAGATCCAGTACACAACGGTTTTTCTGGTGGTTACCGGTATTTGTTTTTTGCTTAGAATCCAGGTTTGGACCTAAATGATGAACTCCCATCATAAGGATTTGTGTGTTGCAGGCCTGGAAATAAGGTTTTAGATGTACCTGACAAAATGTCAGGCACTAATGAAATAGTGCCTGACATTTCAACTTACAGCCTGTTCAGGCGCTTATTTTTAAACCAGTTCATAATTGCTGGGGTTTTTAAGCCAGCATCGTGTTGCGTTAACTACGCATGGGTAGCTTCATATTCTTTATTCGGTCCTCGCACGCTTTCGATAACATTGGCACTGTCTGAATGTAACTTACTGTGTACTGCGCAGGCTGAAAGCGAACTGGAGCCAGTGTTTTTAAGCCAACAAGTTCAGATGGCCAAGATGAACCAGTTTAAAATAAAAAGCCTTCTCGAAGACAGGTCGCGAGCTGGGTTTTTTAAACTGGTTTATTTGCCCCACATTTGCGTTCAGACGCTTAAGTTAAACTGGTTTAACGATCCCCAGGGTTTTTAAACCAGTTCAACTTAAGCGTCTGAACGGGCTATAAGTGGCGGACATGTATTAATATTATCAATAAAAAAGACAGATCAGTGCCGGACAAAATGAAAGGCACCAGAGGTTTTGTGCCTGGCAAAGTCTGAATCTGTGTCTGACATTGTCTGTGACAGGTGCCTTATTTCCAGACTTGGTGTGTTGGAAGATAATTGTACATCATTAACCATAAAGGATCAATCAGTTAGCATTATTGAAATTTTTGTGTGTAACATAATATGTGTGTATGACCATGGTCTTGTATAAGGTGAAATGCAGAAAATAGTGGTAGTCTACTACCAACTAATTATCTCTCAAAATTCTGAAGAAAAGATGCTTTTAAGGATATTAAACAAAATCTAGATTTTGATTTGGACTTTATGATTCTGTTACTGTATTTTAGGGTCCACCTGGTCTGTATGGAGAGAAGGGAGAGAAGGGTAACATGGGTGTTGGTTTTACTGGTCCAAAGGGAGACAGAGGTGAGAAAGGTCCAGCTGGTCCACCAGGTGGACCTGCTGTACGACCTTATGTTTTACCACCAGGCTCAACTACTGGACCTAAAGGAGATCGTGGTATGAAGGGTATGAAGGTAGGTATTGAATAAATTTATGATTACTTTATGGTTCCATCTTCTTAGTGGATACTAAAGTTGTCATCTGAATACCAGTACACTTTCTGTATAATAATTGTTAAAACCAGGAAGAACTTGATGCTGTCTCTTGACTTTTGACCTGCATGTTTCATTTCTAACCAGAGCTGGTCACAAATGCCTTCTGCATTCTAAAAATAATAAATTTCTTCTTTAATGGTCATGGTAATGTATGATGTTCAAATGTCTACAGTAAAAACAGATCGCAAGTGGATATGGATCCTGTTCTCAAAAAATTAAATGTTGATCTTTATTTATTTAGGGTGAACCTGGACCTGATGGTCCACCTGGTTATGATGGTCCTCCTGGCTTACAGGTAAGAAAAAGAATTTATTTTTTATACAGCTTGAAATTAAGAGTAAATTGGTATATTTTTGAAGCTATAGGCAAGTCTTAGGCATATTCCACTAACACCTGACCCTGATTGCTGTATTAATGAAAAAAAAGTATAAAGTATAAATTCTACCCTATATAGAAGTTATAGAATAAATTTTGAAAGCTTTTATTTGAAATTAAATTTGTAATCCAAACAAATTTGCTTTCTGAAAATAAAATATGATTTTAGTTAAAACATAGGTTGACTTGCAATTGGCAATCAGAATAATATAAGATTTACAAGAATATAGTATTTACACCCAGCTGTGCATGTTGTGCCAGGCAAATGAATATTATTAATCTTTATAATTACATAAGTTTAAATTTATGTATATTATTATTGTCAATTATTAATGCTAATATTTATCAAGAATGTGTGAGGTAGTTTTGCAGACATTTTATGAATCCAGTACATTGCCCTAGCGATATAAATAGTTCTTGTGATTCACAAATGGCCACTGGCATTTGGCATGTGGTTTTAGTTAGCTACACATAGTCTGCCTAATTTCACATTGTATATAATAGAATAAATAAACTAAGGCAACTTTCTCAAGAGTTGAAATATCCAAAATGTCTTCTCATCTGATATGATATTAAACTAACTATATTCTCCAAATTGTATTAAAGTAGGGTCGAATAAAACTAGTTAATTTGGTAACGTGTATGTGCACTATAAAGCTCTGTGATAAGTTTTCAAAGATATACAGTTATATTTATTATCATTCTTTGGCAACAAATTTCCAAGATACCTTGTGGGTTTTCTCCGGGTCCTTCGGTTTCCTCCCACTGCTAAAGACCCCAACGTGCAAGCAAATTATTGAAATAAAATTGGACCATGCTAGTCCCGAAATGACCTAGTTTGTGTCGAGTGAATGTTAAACCCCATTTCCCTCTCTCTCACAAGATGCAAATGTGTCTGGATAACCATGTCTGTAGTGTTATTGTCAAGTTTCTGCATAAAAATCATTGACCAATTATTGAATAGAAAGCAACCGTTTTCCAAATGTGTATAATCCAAAGTCACACATGGAAACACAATTTTATGGCTTACACCTTTACGTATTATACTTTGGTAGCGGTAGTTGAACGGTCAGAGCACTAGGCCTACACTCAACTAGATACTCACTGGAAAATTCCCTACCTCACATTGCATATGCACCCACAGAATTGAAAATGACCATATGTTTTTAAATCGGATCATCATCCACTGATCATACTTAAAACATGAAAGATGTAGAAATAAAATGTACTATAGACACTTTAAAACAACATGTTGTTATCATTTGCATATTTCTGTAGAAAACACAAACCAACATGCCCAAGAAATCAACAAGAACATATTTTTTGAGATATGTTTTTTCGTATTCTCGAAAATTCTTAATTTTTGTAAATGAGATGTCTGTGAATTGGGTTAGTGAATAGTTTATGGGTCGGCTATCTTATCATCATATAGAAACATTTCTATCCCAACCACACAAAATACCACTTTATCTGCCTTGTTTCACCAGATTTATCGTGTAAAAAAAGGTTTATGTCTGAGGTTCAGATAAATATTTCTCTTCCTTGACATTCTATATATAAATTTTAGCTTATCTCTTATAATACAGTAAACCTCCTCATCTATCAATCCTTTAGCTCCTACCTTCTTTTGAAAGCTTTAATATCACGAAATTTAATCAAACTCAAGTAATTATTTTAAATTTGGATGAATATGAAGTTAAGACATTTTAATATTTTTGGGATGTGGCCTTATGCAATATAATTACTAGAACTGGTTATGGCCTACAGATATTTCACTTTCCAAAGAATTTTTTGGTATTGCCTGAAAACCATATTGTAGATAAATGAATTTTATACAGTTTATGATATATATTGTAACAACTAGAAACATTTATAAATTATAAAACACTCACAAATAAATTAAACAGTACCAGTATGTTTAGTTCCTGAAGAGAAGGAAGTATGTCAGTAAAATGGAATGGGGTCACTTGGTCAGTCTAAAATTAGGTCAATGGTCAACATATTCCTTATATTCTTTTAAGTCAAGTGGTAATAAATTTCAGGATTGTCTACAGTTGAACTTATTAGGATAAAAAAAAGTATGAATGAAAATATTTTTGCCATTTGTCACTAAATGTGAAGTAATATAATAGAATTGTTTTAGAGAATTTTCTCGATCAATTATGATTGTGGGAGAATAAATTTGTTATATAGTTCATAACTGCAAAATAGTATGACACAAGAATCTGATACAAAATTCTCCCCTTTTGTCCATTGTTGGTTTTAACCAGCATATCTACTATTCAAAACTCCTGTACATAATAATAAGTTAGCATTCTTAAATGTGCCACTACCTTCATTAAATTACTGGTTGATGGATAGCATAGATTAACCTGACTGTAATAGCGTGAGAAATGTCGCACCTTGTCTTAAAAAGATGATATCCAATTGTTCTTTATCAAATTTCCTAAATTCCAAGACCAAATATGTACAGAAAACATACCTGAAAATAGAGCAAATTCAGCCAGATACTTTGAGAAACATCAAAATCGAAATATCGCTGTTTGACCTAGTTAATAGATTGAGAGATCAAGTGTAAACTTCATTTTCAAAATGTCATACACTTGGATGAGATAAACAATTTGGCAAGGGAAAGGGAAAGACCTCCAATTGTAGATAAAATCAAACACCCCCAAAAGACCAATGTTTTTCACAAGGTGATCCGTAGATTGCTTTTATGTTTATTTATGTTCACTACATCTAACAAATCAATGGTGGAACCCCTATTATAATAGTTATCTTGAGTACAGTCCTAATGCTAGTATCTGAATACTGTTGCTGAAAAGTAATTATAGTATCTTAAATTTGTTATTTTATATAGGGATTACCTGGTCCATCTGGTATGAAAGGAGAAAAGGGTGTACCTGGTATTGCTGGTCCAAGAGTAAGTAATGTGTTTGTTTTCTTTGTCTATACATAACAAATAATGCAAATAGTTAAGGTTACCTGCTCCATTCTGACAAGCAAGAGGTAACAATCCTCTATATTAAGCACCGTGATATCTGGACAAAGAAGTATTGATGTATCTTTTTAAATCAAAGTCTCAAATAAATCATATATAAAGCAATTATAGGAGTCATAGGTGAAACACACACAAAATGATTTGTATACTAAACGTTAGCATGGAGCAGAACTACGAGCCAAACAAATTTTAATGATTTCTGATAATTACTTAATGAGTTGTTACTCTTAATCAGATTTTAGTGTATTGTAATTTTTTTATTACCAACAAAACAAAAAATGTACAATTTAGCTGCTGTGGGTGTATGTTTTGTTGAATGACAACCTATCTTTGTTTTTATTTATTTATTTAGGGTAAACAAGGTTTCCCTGGGTTACCTGGTCAACCAGGACCTAAAGGAGATACAGGTATGGATGGTGTTCCTGGTTTACCTGGTTTATTTGGTATGAAAGGTGATCGTGGTTTACCTGGTTTAGATGGTTTACCTGGTGTTCGTGGTCCACCTGGTCCTGCTGGCGTAAGTCTCTCAACTTTTGTAAATTTTTTATCTTAGTGTACTGTGCAGTTGGCAAATTTGACAACTATGTAGGCTAGAATGAGTAGATGCCTCAGCCACAGGCAGAAACTTTCAGTGTGGTTAATTGCTTGTCGGAAAAGCGAAATAAAAGTTTGAAATATAAAAGTACATCAAGAAAAGCATGCATAACCTGCCTCATTTATGACATCTGTGGTTTCTTGGAGTAATATATTAATAGGTGCTATATGTAAGAATTGTTGTATGTTTTATGCTCAGTTTGAAATTACTGAATTGTCCTTTTTTTTTATCTTTTTTGCTTCAAAGAGTGTTCTGTATTGATATTGAATATTTTTAGGGTAAAGGTGGTGATGGTCCTCCTGGACCAGCTGGTCTTCCTGGTCTTCCTGGTAGAGATGGTTTTCCTGGTAATGATGGTTTACCTGGTCCACAAGGTCCTCGTGGTCCCAATGGGTTACCCGGCGGCCCTGGATTACCTGGTGCTCCTGGTAGACAAGGTTTAGATGGTCCAAAGGGTGAAAAGGGTGACTTTGGTCCCCCAGGTAAGTCAATGAAAATCTGATAATTAGGACACTAGACTCATGACCAGAATGGAGAGGGGTCTATAGGCTTCTTCCTGTTCTCCAATTCAGTTTCTTTGAATAAATATTGATTACAAAAAAAAAGTGACCCGAATGTTCCCTAGTTTGAATCTCTGGAGGTGGACAAAGAAATATCTTTAGGATTTTTTAATCCCTGTCATTGTCAGGAGTGGTGCCAACAGAACATAGAGGTCTAGTCCTTCATATGGAGCAGAATTGGTAGTGCACGGACAAGATTCCTTTGGCATTTGAAATGATAAAAAAAGACAGAAAAGCTGTGCTCCATGCAAAGTTTTCTTTATATAGCTCACATAACTATAGAAATAACATATTTTAGTCTCAAATTGTCAGAAGTATTTTGTTGACAAGACTTTGCACCCATTCCTTTTATGAATAATTGTTTATTTAATTACAAAATATTATAACATTTTTTTTAAGTCCTTACTTTTTCGGTGTTAGGAACAATAAACATACCATAAAAGAAAAGACAATCCATGGGCATATTGCACATGTTAATAAGGTTAAATCTTTTGCTCAGTGGAATCAATAATAATCAAATCCCAGTGACTTTTCATTAAAGCAATAATATATAATAATTTTTTTTAAAATTTCATATGTCTGTGTTTATCCATAATGTTTGCAGGTATTGAGGGTCTTGATGGTAGGGCTGGTTTACCTGGACGCTCTGGGAACAAAGGTGAAATGGGTCCCAAGGGAGAGCCAGGTTTATCCATTCCTGGACCACGGGGTGACAATGGTTTGCCTGGTTTAGATGGTTTACCTGGTATAAAAGGAGAGATGGGTCTGAAAGGTTTACCCGGTCCAGCTGGAAATTCAACAAAAGGTTTACCTGGTCCAGCTGGTCCTAAAGGAGAACCAGGTCCAGCAGGTTTTGATGGTCGTCCTGGTCGTGACGGAACACCAGGTTTCCCAGGAGACAAGGGTAGGTCAACAATTTCATTTTGAAATTGATGTTACCGGTACATTATAGAATAATCAACAATAAACACAAATTTTGTATTTCAAATGATTTGGGTATATTTATATCATTGTGTTTAGGATTTATTGTGAAGCATTTTGCAGAGGCACAAATAATGAATTTCGGCTGCAACAGTTTAGGGAGCCGCATGACATATTTTGGTGATAAGAATGAACTTATTTCCAGAACTTGTACATGTGGACACAGATCATCATAGATTGAGTGGAATAAGGGAGACAACTGCAAATATTTAAACTACCCCAAGCCCTATGATTCTATTGATAAGGCCACACAAAATAAATGTCTTGTTTCTCGGGCAACTGACAGCTGAAACTGTAGGGAGGGAGGGCGGTTTCTTTTTTTTTTTTTACTCATTGATGGTGCAAAATAAAATTTGGCTATTGCTGAAAATTGTTGGGGCGGGAGGGCGGTCTTTCTTTTTTTTTTTTTTTAAATGAGAAAGTCATTACTTGTTTACGTTTTTGCTTTCCGTTATATTCAACTTTATTGTACATACTTAAAACATAAACCCAAAATCAAGTCTACTAAAACACTGAGACTGAACACTGACTGAAAGGAAAATAATTTTCCATATTTAATTCACATAATTGAAATTGGTTTAAAATAAAATTCCATACGACTATGTAATAGCCCTCCATAAAGACAACAATATTTTTAAAAACTAAGCCTCTTTCACCAGGTGTATCAAAAATAATAATCATGGTAAACAGTATTTAAAACAAAATCTAGTATCGCCGGTTTATTTATAATTATTTACCGAATTCCAACCAATGCATGTCACACCGTGTCATCGGTATTGGAGATTGCCGGAAATACTGTTTCTTGGGATATTCGGTGTGTTTCTCAGGATATTCGGTGTTCTATCCGGTGTTTATATTGAATGACTATTTAAATCTAACTAACAACTGGTCAGTAAAACCATCAAATCGGTAATCCAATTATTATTTTCCGGATTATCGAAACTACCGTAAATGTGCTAATAATGACCCAGATTCTAAGGTATGCATTATGACGACTATCGTCATCGTATCGTATTCTTAGCTATAATTAATTAAACTGTTCTACGGTTCATTATTTTATCAATAGGATTTTCCAAACAAGGACCGACTGAAGCCGGCAATAATGAGCCGATTACGATCGAATGATTGAAATATTGTCGCCAATGACTTTTAACACGAATCAAATTCTAGTTTATCAGGGGAGGTAATTAATACCACGTGATACAAAATGGAGGTTCTTTCGATATCAATAAAAAAGGCAAATCTGCCAAACTTCGCCATTGTTCGGATAAAAAAGACAGCATGTTCATCTGAATCAGTTTTAATACATTTGAATAGATATACATGTATGGCGGATGTAGGTACATGCGGGATATTTTTTTTACGACTTGCTTGTCGATGTGCGGGCGGGCGTTACATATTTATTTTTTTTCATCAAGACTAATAAATAGACTGCACGCGCAACCAATTTTGCGTGCGGGCGGTGCCCGAGAAACAAGTTATTTTATTTGTGTTGCCTAATGTTTTACTAGGTGATAGAGGAGGATCATGCGAATCATGTCGACCTGGTGTTAAAGGAGAGAAGGGTTCAAGTGGATTAGATGGATTACCAGGACTACCTGGACAGCGAGGACTAGATGGTCCAGCAGGATTTAAGGGCGAACCTGGTGAAGATGGTCCAACTGGTTTACCTGGTATTCCCGGTCCTTCTGTAAGTAAAAAAAAAATCAATTGCTTCGATAAGTCAACAAAATATCTTTGCATTATTGAATTTAATTTTTGTGGTTTCATATGAAAGGATTATAAAAGTGTTTAGTTTGTGTTGAGTGGACGTTCATCTCCACTTCTCTCTGTATGTGTTAAATAAACCAGGTTTTTTTTTGTTGTTTTTACTTTATAAGCTAATGAAAACAGTGATTGAAATATAAAAACAGAAATTTTTTAGGATTTTAAGAATCAATAGCTGGTGGACATTAAAACATTACAATTTCAAGAACCCACTGAATGCAGCCATATTTCTTTTCAAACTAGATTGTTCATTGCAGTGAAACACCATGAATATCATATTATTTATTCAAATTAAATTTTTTTTTAATGTTAGCAGCAGAGTATCATAAAATTTTCAATTTCATCTGAAATTTTGTCCTTGTCAGCACTGTTTATCTACATACTAATTATTAATGAAGAGATTATTATATTGTATGTAATTTTACAGGGTGAGTCTGGTTTACCTGGTTTCCCTGGTGACAAGGGTCAGAAGGGAGAAGCTGCTACTGCTGAAGTGCTTCCAGGACCAGAAGGTAACTTCTTTTATCCATGTTTTTCTAAGAGCCATGGTAGTCATGCTTTAGAATATCCAAGCTTCGAATCTCAAAGTGGGCCAAGGGGTAGTGCCCTTGAGACCAATAGTTCAGATCAGATGAAAAACCAAGGTCCACCAAGGTCCACCAGTGTTCACATGAACATAAGAGAATTCTTGACAGTTGGAATTTGATAAAGAGTTAGTGGAAATGCTGCTGTCTAGGCAAAATTTGCCCTTAGCATTGCATGTAACTACCAAATTAAAAATAACCATATGTTAGTCTCAAAATTATATATATATACTGTCAGTTAGGGTAAGGGGTGGGGGCAGGGCCTCTAGGGCCCCAACCTGGATCCTCAACTGGACCTAAAACAGTACATACAAGAGCTAATATGCAAATCCATACGGGTTAGCTACTCAGCAGCACAGATAACATGAAGAATCGTGTTGGGCTATAAATGAGAAAGTTTGTTTGTGGGTTCATTTGCTGTAGGGAACCAAGTTGTTTTAAAACAAATCCATAACAACACAAGATATTTATTACCTTTTGGAAAATTATTTTTCTGGCATTTTTATGACATTCAGCCATAGGGTAGTGGTTTATAATGTTATATGCTCTTTCTAGGTTTGAAGGGAGATCGAGGTGATAATGGATTAACTGGTGAAGGAGGACGACGTGGTCTCCCTGGTCCACAAGGTCCTCCTGGACAGTCTGGTCTCCCTGGCCTTAAGGGAGAAAAGGTAAGTTATAATGTTTACACTGCATAAAGCCGGTTATCAATACTGAAAATTCACAGATTTGCAAAACAAAATATTTATTGATTAGCCAAAATTCAGTCATACGTTCATAAAATATGATTCAACTAAAATCAACCATTATTATAGGCATCGAGGCAAAAGAAAAAATTGTTTGTCAACTTTCCGGTCCCTGTCTACAATTAAAAAGATCATGTTTTTTCTTATTATCACTTAGCAAATTATATATCCCACTTTAAATACGTATATGTTACTATATGGACTTCCACTAGACTTCATGACAACAAAAGAAAATGAAGTCTGGATCTATCAGACTTTCTGACATACAGTACCCACATGTGAATGACATCACAGGCATGTACATGTACAATGTGGATTATTTGAAGTATCAAGAAAATAAATCAACTACGACTTTCACACAAATTTTACACCACTCCAGCTGACAATTATATACAGCTATTAAAAAATATTATCAATTAACATTTTAATATAATATTGAATTATACAGAATACCATTCAAAATAAATAGGTATCATACAGACCTATGCATTTACTTTGTCCAATAATTAGATTAGTCATACTGAAATTTTAAAAATGCATAACTGTCATTTTTATTCTGAATTAAATTTGGATAGAAAGATGGAATACTTTTGAATGAAGAAGTTATTATACATTTTCAGCCTTTCACTTCAATAATAACAAAAATTTTCTTGTTAAATAACAATTTTAGGGTGAAAAGAGTTTGCCTGGTTTAGACGGTTTACCAGGTCGTCCTGGTGAACCTGGTATTCCCGGTTTAAGGGGTGATCCTGGTATTGGTATTCCGGGTGCTCCAGGCGAGAGAGGTGATCCTGGTATGAATGGTTTACCTGGTTTACCTGGTCTAATGGGTGTAAAGGGAGATCCTGGTAAGTAACTTAGATTATTTAGTGTTAGATTGGATTGATCTGATGTGTAATTTTGATTAGTCAAGGGCAATAATTCTGCAATTTCACTTATGAACATTATGCAAAGTCAGTCACTTGACTAAATTTTGTTTTGTCTTGACATAATCTGCTAATTGCAGAAAACCAGCTCTGTTCTATTGTATAGGTTAATTCACAAAACATGAAAACTATACTCAGCCAAATTAAAAACTTGACACTCAGGATTTTTGGGACTAGATTTTTAATATTTGGTTTAAGGCAACTATTTTAGTGTTATGTTGTGCACAGACGACCTTGACATCAACAGAAAGCAAGAATACGTCTCGCCGAAAGTCCTTGACATTGATAACGTTTGTGATGTCACAGTACCCCCCAAAATGAAATTCACAGACTTGAAGAACAATCGGAATAAAGTGTTTAGTAAAGGTTGTGGCCTCCTCTAGCGTCTCGTACTGCCACACAACGTCTTCTCATGGATCTCAGAACATTAGTAAACACTACCCGAGGAAGACGTCGCCACTGCTCAGCAAGAGCATGTTGAAGGTCCTGCAACATCAGTGGTGGATTCACTTGCTGATGTTCACCTCGTCTGCGGTACACTCGGACCCTGCCATCGGCAAATCTCAAAGTGAATCGAGATTCGTCACTAAAGACAACCGAATTCCACTGCCTTTGAGTAAATCTTATGTGTCTTGTGGCCCACACAAGTCGGTTACGGCGATGAAGAGGTGTCAATATTGGTCCATTATAGGGCCTCCGAGCTCGAAGACCAGCAGCCTGCAAGCGATTTCGAACAGTTTGTGCAGTTACCCTTCCACCAAACATCTCTCTACTTGTGGAGGTTGCAGTGACAAATATGTTTCTAAGATGACGTAATCGTATTGCCTGATCTTCCTGGAGTGACGTCACACGTGGTGCTCCCGCCCTTGGGCGTTCGGCAATAGTTCCAGTTTGAAGCACTCTCTTTCTAAGATTAATTATTGTCTGGCGTGAACAATTAAAGGCTCTTGCAACAGTGACCAAAGACTGACCTGCATAGAGCCTACCTATAGCACGTAGACGTTCTACATTTGAAAGGCACAGCATTTTCTAACAAAGATGAAAATAACAATTTTAATTTGTTTTTCCAGTTCAAGTAACGTGTGCGTGTTCAGTTTAAGCAAACTTGCATCGATTGACCTCACGAGTTTGTGTTTGCACGTGTTTTTCAGGTTTTTCATCTTTATATGCTCAAAAGTCACGATCCACGTGACTTTACAATTTTATGAAATTAAAGGCTTCTTACTACTTACTATCGTTAGAAACACTTTAAAATTTATTTGACTTTACCAGAAAATTTTTTTTATTGAAATTCATCAGTGTCAAGTTTTTAATTTGGCTGAGTATATCAGCCCATTACATTTGGCTGTTATGGCTGCACTGATCAGCAAATAAAGAGCAAAATATGCTTGATTTAAATACATAAAATGATGTTTTTTTGGTTTTATTCATGCCTATTTATTTTGTCATTCAGTTGCTCTATTTTAAATAATGTTACTGAAGTTAAATGAACTGATTTCAGGTATTGTGCCAATTGATATAACTAAATTGAAAGGAGAACGGGGAGAACCTGGTCCTGCTGGTATTCCTGGTTTCCCTGGAGAAAGTGGTTTACCTGGTCTTGATGGAGAAAAAGGTAAAAAATCCTAAATGTTGCTTGGGTGAATATGACAACTAATACAGTCTATTATTAATTCAACTAAAATATCACTTTATCAAGAAAGAATAAATTAAAGTAATGATTTTCAAATAGTTAATTCTAAAATGGCAGAAATAACAAACAGCCATGTAAGAATTAAATGGACAATATGACAGCCATGTTTACATGATTTAAATAATATAGATAGTTATACAGATAGATGATTAGAACAGAAATTGTAGATATAATTCAAAACATTTGATATCAATAGAAACTAATAATGTCAAAAGGCTGTAATGTCAGTTTAGATTTCCCAAAGTGTTTCTGTATATTTAACATAAACTTATAGCACATGATAAAAAATCTCTCATTTATTTAAACCAAGTTCTATTCAAAATGTTGGATATTTAGACATTTTAAAGGAGGCAAGTTTCTAACTCAATATCATCCACAGTCTTGATATTGCAAACACAACTTAATGATCAATTTAGATCAACATTGATGTTCTTATCTTACCATGAAAAGATGGGCTTGGGCTTCTGATTACCAATATTTAAGACAAAATGAAAATTTTAAAATTGCCACAGAATCGCGTGCCAGAATGTGTACGAGCTCCATTTGTTATGAAGCAACTCAATGAACGAGGCTAAACATACTACCGTTGTAGACTGGAATAACCTGACGCCAAAGACTGTCATTAAATTTAGACTCTATGAATATTTCGTCGAACATAACTGATAAGAAATTACAATAACGATTGAATGTAAATCAGTTTATATACATTCATATTACATTATTATATGTGTTACTTCCCATTTGTGTCCATTTCTAGGCGCCAAAAAATAGAGATTTAGCTCCTTTAACAATCTTTCCAATCTTAAAGGGACATTACAATTGATTAATTTGAATAATTTTGGACCACCATATTTTGGTACAATATTTTTGATTTTGTATTGTTTTACTCTCTGTATTTCATTATGACTTAGCACTTTAAGAAATAACAAAATTGCCTTTCAGTTGTAGTATGTCTCTTTATGATAGATTTTGACCAATGTTGATTTTTTTTTTCTTCAGGAAATCCTGGTCGTGATGGATTACCTGGTTTACCTGGACTAAAGGGAATACCTGGGGAGAATGGTTTACCTGGTATGCCAGGTCCAAGAGGTACACCCATATTTCTTTGTATGTCTGTGTGTTGCCTACAGGCCACAATTCTTAATGGATTGTCTTGGAACTTGTCATATGTATTCCTTATAGCCTAAGGATGGCTATATAATTTTATAAGTACTAGTCTGCTGCTGACTTACCTAGTGTGGTTTCCACTTGTAAATCGTGTAGGATTGAGGGCCTGGCAAGGATCATCGTCAAGTTATTCAGATGGGACAAAAAACTAAACCAGAAAAGGATGTAAAACTGCATTTCATTCATTTATTCATTGCTACACACTTGCCAGATCTGCCTTTTCTGTTCATCGCCTTCTTAAATGAACTTGTCAAATCTATCTCTACTGACTTTTGTGTAGCTTTAGAGAGCCCTTTAAATGAACAATGAAGGAAATTATCCTCCTTCAACTATTCTCCAAATATATCATATTTTTAAATGAAGTGTAAAAATGTGTATTATATAAACCTTGACCTAGGAAGATGGAACACCAACAGCCGAAAAATAACTCTTAAAATGTTGCACTTTGCCAGTCACTTTTCTGTTTACTGCTAAATTATTGTTACATGTATGCGTATACTAAGAATTTTAGTAAATAATTCTGAAGTAAAGTTGTGATATGCATTAGGGGACCATCATCATCATCATCTTCATCATTATTATTATTATTTTAGGATTACCTGGACAGAGAGGTAATGAAGGTTTACCTGGATTACCTGGTGCTGCTGGTTTATCTGGACCAAAGGGAGATAGTGGTCTGCCTGGTTTACCTGGTCTTCCTGGTAATTATAACATTTTAATCTTCAACACATATACTATTTAGTCATAAAATCTTTGAATAATTGACTAACAAGGGACTGAAGCACACACATTTTGCTGCAAAGTTTGACATTTTAATTTGTTGCTATGGTACATAAAAGTATGGCCCTTTGTGGAAGTATAGGGTTTCAAAAGTTTCTTTTGTTGGCTAACAACCAATCTTTTTTTTTACAGGATCGAAAGGAGATAGTGGTCTACCTGGTGAAGCTTTGGTTGGACCAAAAGGACAGTCTGGATTACCTGGTCTACCTGGTGATCGTGGTCTACCTGGTTTACCAGGACCTGAAGGTAGGTTTGGTACTATGCTTTCAAAAATTGAAGTTTTGATGTTTCTGTGAATAAGCTGTGAATAGAATAAATGTTTCATCATTTAATATGCTTTATATTATATTTTTTTCATTTCATGAAGGACCCTCTGGATTACCTGGGTTACCTGGCCCAAAGGGAGATGCTGGAATACCTGGACAACCTGGTTTCGATGGATTACCTGGTATGAAAGGAAATGTTGGCCCTGAAGGGCCTGCTGGATTACCTGGTCTTGATGGACAGCCTGGTCTGCCTGGAATACCTGGTAAAACAAATTTATACTTTATTGCAGTTGGTGGTGATGCTGGTTTAGATTATAAACATATATTATTATACAGGACTGATTCAATATATAAATATATATTATTATAGATGTTGTCGGATTCGGTATATAAACCTGAATTATTATAAAAGTCTGGAGAGTGAGATAGTGGATGCTCTACATGAACATAAATGTTTGTTTGAGTTTTTGTATTTTCCAAATTTACAATATCAGTATTCTTTTATCACCAGGTCAAGCTGGATTTAAGGGAGAGGCTGGATTACCTGGACTACCAGGATTAGATGGACAAAAAGGAGACGCTGGATTACCTGGTCTTGATGGACAACCTGGTCTACCAGGACTTGATGGACCTCGTGGCCAAAATGGATTACCAGGACAAGATGGTCTTCCAGGATTACCAGGTTAATATAAACAAGTCATATCTAGTCTTGGCTATGAATCAAACACATTGTAAACACTGCAGCACATCATTCTATGGATTGTGATTACTCTTTATCATCGTGTGATGCCTACCATGATTATCTAATATTTATCGAGCAGTTCATTTACTAAATACCATTGATTGGATAGAGAATTAAACCTGCATGAAACAAAATATTTTGTAATTATTACTCTCTTTTTAGCCAATATCTCTATTAAACATACATTATGCTAGAGCTAAATCTGCCTATTGCAGGTCTTTCTTTAGGCCTGAAATGTTATCTAAATTATTAATTAGACATTAATTAACTTATCCAGACCATAATCTGGATTAGGTTCTGATTTGTTGTTCGACTTCCATTTATAATTTAATCATGAAATGGATAATCGAGACTATTTTTTTTATCGTACTGATTTTAGTAATTTAGATCGAGGCTAGGCCAAAATTCAATCGCTAAAATCTCGGTTCAGAATGGACCAATTTGACGGAAATTTTCAGCAAATTCCCTTTACATTATCGTGAGAACTGTCAGCTCTTTATCTAATCTCCCTTAATGTATCTTTAATGTTTTATAAGTTAAGGCAATTAAGCAGGTGTTAGCCTCACAAATATTTGTAATAAAACTTCTTTGTTTGTGTGAAATATGTATGCTATCTTATGATTCTTGTTATGAAGACTCCAAAGAATAAAGAATATGTAGAAGTTCTTATTTATATATTGAATAAAGTTCTTTATACTTGATTATGCAGGTATAAAGGGAGAACAGGGACCTATGGGATTTAATGGAGAGCCTGGACGAGATGGTCTACCAGGTCTACAAGGTTTACCAGGTTTGAAGGGAGATCGTGGTTTACCAGGCTTACCAGGAGATAGTGGTTTACCTGGTCGACAAGGTATGTCAATGTTTGTCTTAGTAATACTTAATAAGTATGGTTTTGAATTATTCAGTAATCCACAAATTCATTGTCAGGTGTAACAGTCACTGGATGGTTTATTTTCATGCCATTTGGGATGGTTGAAAATTCCCATTACATGTATATGAAGTTTCCATATGGAAATGACCTCGCCAACCAGGCTGAAAATAGACAACGGCAACAACCATTTCTTAAAACAAACCATTTCCAAAATAATGGTTTCCACTTTATCAGCCCAAATATTAAAATTCAAAAATTGAGTCAACATGTTCTATATTTAGTAAATTTATAAAATGCTATCATAGTTTGTAAAATATATTCGATTTGTAAAGGGGAAACATGGATTAATGGACATTTATATATATTTTTGTGTTATATTTTTCTTCCAGGCATTCCCGGTGAGGATGGTTTACCCGGATTACCTGGAAGGGAAGGAGAGAGTGGATTACCTGGTTTACCAGGATTGAAAGGTGACCGTGGTGATAGTGGATTACCAGGATTAAGTGGAGAACCAGGATTGCCAGGTGAGTTACAGGTGTTTTACAAAAATTCTTTGAAATCAAGAACACTCATCTTAAAATAGAATCCCATTAAGGCATAATCCATGAAACAAAATCATTTAAAGTTATCAGATAAAGTTACAAAATTCAACCGATTGTGTTCTAGTTAATTAAAGGTAGCCCATAGAATGAAATCATTTCAATTTATATTACTGTTAAAGAAGCTTTACACAAATGGCATAGTCTCTGATAAAAGATAATAAATTATGGCACTAAATTACAAGAACACAATATGGTTACTACTGCAGCCTTTTCATTGGCTGGGTATTAAAATCATAGCACATATTTTAGCTCTCAGCTAATTAAAAAGCTGCATTCTTGATATAGTTAAGAAAGGGCATGGATCTTTGAATGTTTATTCTGCATGATTTTAATACTCTATTTGTTTTTCCTATTTATAGGATTACCTGGATTACAAGGTCCTAAAGGAGACCGAGGTAACGATGGCTATGGAACACCAGGTGCTGAAGGCATGCCTGGACTGCCCGGACGAGATGGAGAGCCTGGTCGAGCTGGTCTACAAGGGCCTAAAGGAAATGCAGGTTTACCAGGATTCCCTGGTTTACAAGGACCAAAGGTAAAATGTGTATGGCTATACAAGTGGTTTAATTTAATTGAATAGCATCCAAGAAAACCCTATTTTCAAACTAAGCCACAATAACAGCACAAAAGGACATGAACTTTAAAATGTTAAAAAGATAAATAAATAAAAAAAAAAATAAGGCTACATTTATCATCTGATTTTTTTCAAAATTTATTTGTGTCAGTAAGACAAATAAAAGGATTGAATTTCCAGAGGTACAGACTTCACCTGTACCAATACTTTGGTCACAAATGACTATATAAAGGGAACAGCTGTCTTGCCACCCATTCTCGTGTGTAAATAATTATATTTAAATCAACCTGTCCATAATATCATGTAATATGTATTGGATGCTAAATTTGTAATAAGCAACATTAAAATCCTCACTTAAGCCTGAAGAGTTTGCAATAGAACTAAACTAAACTGTAGTAGCTTTATGAAAGAAATCGGTGATGCCTTTTTGCCACTATATAGATTTCAATTGGACAAAACATTAAGTGACATTTGTCAGCATATTGAACATTTTATATGTTGACCAACAACATTTTAGATGTTAACAAAATGTCTTCATTTTTGATTGCAGGGTAATTCTGGTTTACCAGGATCACCTGGTCTGCCTGGTTTAGATGGATTATCAGGACCTAAAGGAAATGCTGGATTACCTGGATTACCTGGTACCCCTGGTCTCAAGGGTCAATCTGGTTTACCCGGTTTAGATGGTCTACCTGGTCAAAAGGGTGACACTGGACTTGATGGTAGACCGGGTTTACCTGGTTTATCTGGACCCAAAGGTTCTCCCGGACTACCTGGATTAGACGGAGAACCTGGTAAGTTTACAAAATGGACAGGGATTAATTTGTGTCATTATAATTGTTTACATTTTTGTTAGAAATGCTGGTGTTAGCCAACACAATGGTATATTTTCATCAAATTTTAATGACATGGGTTAAAATATATATATATATATAATATAAATTACAGCATCACATGGAAAATTTTAAAGAATTCCAAACCATACAGCCCCTCCACAAATAGATGCAACTTATGCATATGGGAGAAATACTTCATTATTTGCAAACCAGAACTTTCCTCCTTAAATAGAAGAAATGAGCTTGTTTCTACATGCAGGCATCTTCATAAATATTTACTGCAGAACTTTAAACAATAGCACATCATTTTGTTGTATTTATTGCTTTATATTCTAAGTAACCAAAGTCTGTTTTTATAATTGCCTTGTTCCGCCAGTTAACCTTAATGCAAATTGTGTCAATAGGTCATATCCTATAAACTACATGTACTAAATTTACTAGTCGACAATATTTGAAGCTTGATCCATCTAAGACACAGGTTTTAGATAATTCCGTAATATCTTTCCTAAATAATTTGTTACGTTTTGTTGTATACTGTTGATGTAACGCCCGTCAACCGTTGTTACCATGCCTCGTGTAATCAAACTTCATTTGTATTTTTCTTCTGATGAGTGTGGAGTACCACATGAAACTTTAAGTAAAGAACTTACAGATTTCACATTTTTAATTATTCATATATATACATGTATAGTTCAGTCTTTTAACTTGAATAAAATGCTAAAGTACTAGTATGATCTCGACTAGTCATTGAAAGAATAACAGCATCAATAGACCTTCAACTTACAGATTTCACATTTTTAATTATTCATATATATACATGTATAGTTCAGTCTTTTAACTTGAATAAAATGCTAAAGTACTAGTATGATCTCGACTAGTCATTGAAAGAATAACAGCATCAATAGACCTTCAACTAGTTTCTGATCTTGATGAATCTGTCTTGTTGTCTTTGAATCAAGTTATCTACTCAATCACATGATCTGAAGTCTTACACATAAACATACCAGACTAGGGTTATACATTGGCATTGGTAATCTCCAAATATTTAGCAACCCTCTTTATACTTTACACTCTTGATATTAAGTGATATATACCCCCAAGATGCATTGATTAAGACCAGTAATCAAGAAACATGAACTGCTCAAAAATGTATTACAATTATACAACATTTATATGTGCACATAAAGAAAGGGATGGTTGGAAATTCTCACATTCAGGGTAGATACCACAAAGGTTCATTTCTTTTGTTTATGTAATTAATATATGGTATTTTATCTATCATTTGTGTTTTATAGGACGACCTGGCTTACCTGGTGATAGAGGTAATGATGGACAACCTGGTCTACAAGGTTTACCTGGTCTTAAAGGAGAAAGTGGTTTACCTGGACAACCCGGTTTATCTGGTATGTTAATTTACACTACTAGACAAGATATAAAAACAATTAGATGATGGATTCAATAAGAATTTGTGAACTATATAAACAATATTTCCAATGGGGCATTATAAAATATGGTTTCGTTATTATACTGTCATTGGGGTCTACTTGTTATATCTATGTTAATGTGAGACCTTTAGAAAGGGCTTATATTTTGATATGCTATACTTTAAAAAGTAATATGATGTCATTTTGTTTATTCTACAGGAGAGAAAGGTAATCCTGGATTACCTGGTTTAGATGGTTTACCTGGTCCTGCTGGTCCTAAAGGAGATCGAGGTAAAGATATATATATCCGATTTTTATTTATCTTCAATTAAAAAATAATTTATTTAATGCAATACATATTTATATAGTAACAGTTAGAAAATAGATATAGAAGTACATGTACACCTCTGAGGAAAAAAATATAGATAGAAGTACATGTACGCCTCTGAGGAAAATGAAATTTAAACATATATCACAAACATAGTTATATGAATGGGATGTAATAGTTCTTTTAGATAAATAAAAAGGTTGCTGTAATTTAGATGATGTTTACAATACTGTTTGTTATATAGTTTTCTGTTTATATTTTAAGGTCTTCCCGGTCAAGACGGACTTCCCGGTACCCCTGGAAGATCAAGTGTTGGACCTAAAGGAGAACCTGGTTTACCTGGACGTCAAGGTTTAGATGGATTACCAGGACAGAAAGGAAATTCTGGTATGTTATGTTTTCACTAATTGTCCCCCGCCTTTCTGTTTAGGCTAAATAGCAACAATCAATTTGATTGGTCAACTCTGGTGTAGATGTTCATTAGGTAAATGTCTTGACTGAGTTTAATGATTAAAATTTTCTGCCAAAGCTAAGCCGAGCTGAGTAATATTGTTCGATGCTTTGGGACAAGATAACTTTGATTCTAACTTATAGAGAGTGATGAAAGTTAGTGTAGAGCTTCCCTACCAGGTACTTCAAAACTGACTGAGTTCAATTGTGAACATTTTCTGCTAGGACTAAGTATAGGTAATCAGTTTGATTGCTCGATACTTTTCAAAAAGATAAATGTGCAATTAATTAATATGTGTCATCTATTTATTTTGGGGTTGCGGCGTGGGGGACGTCACTGTTGGCTTGTTTAGTTTAGAGAACCAAGGAACTAAAGGATAAAGAATACAATTGATATTAAAATATTGCCGAGTTGATAGTCAGAGCATTGCGTCAATACCACAAACTGAAATTACTAATTCTGCATACAGATTAGGTACACAAAATGATGTTTACTTAAATAATGTTTATTCATTCAACTATTTCACTAGCATGATGTAGGTTTTATTTATTTTGTTTTATATCATGTATAATATCTTATTATAGGTCTACCTGGTTTGGATGGTTTGCCCGGTATGAAGGGAAATGATGGTCTACCTGGTATTGGTCGAGATGGTCCCAAAGGAGAAAGTGGTATACCAGGCCGACCAGGTAAAAACAGTAAACTTCTTTAAATTATAATAGTGCATATTGGGGGCAGAAAACGGCAGTAACAATCAGTCATTTGCATTAATTAGAGAATTTAAAACTAATACATGATATTATGATCATTGATAATTATAGGTCTACAAGGTCAACGAGGTGTACCTGGAGAAGATGGTTTACCAGGATTACCAGGTCTTAAAGGTGATCGAGGTGATGTTGGTCTAACTGGAGAGTCTGGACGTAGTGGACTACCTGGTATACAGGGACCTAAAGGTGTGTAAAAATAGGACAGTTTATGTTGTATTTAGATAAAGATATAAGTTGTACTAGATATTTTATGGAATTAGTGTCAAAATAGAACTGTTTATATTGTATTTAGATGAAGAAATACATGTAAGCAATACTGTATGGAGTTTTGTAGAACTTTAAATAATGGTGTATAATGTTGCATACATTTTGAGGATAATGTGACGTACGTTCTGAGTATATATTTGCATGCATTTTGAGGATAATGTTGTACACATGTTAATTATACAGTGTCATAAATTTTGAGTATAATGTGGCATACCTGACAGGGATATTGTAGCATACATTTTGATTATACAGTGGCATACAATTTGAGTATACAGTGGCATACATTTTGAGTATATAGTGGTAGAGTGGCATACATTTTGAGCATATTATTATAGTAGCATATTTTAGACTTAAAGCTAAGTTCAAACAAAGTTTTTTCTATGTGTTTTGTAGTCTATATTCTTAAAGAATAAGCAGTGGTCTATAATATTTCTTTGAAAAGTCATATCCATGACTCATTTGTTGGGACTACTTGTTTACCACCATATTTGACAAGTGATTATTTAAATCTTGTCTTTTCCTTGCCTAGCACTGAAATATTTAAACAACTGACAAACAGAACAATACAATAACTCAAAACAACTACAAATATTTCCAGTGTGAGGTAAACAGTATTTGGGAGATCAGGATTTATTATATATTAAAATTTGGATTCTTTATTAAAGGACAACCTGGTCTACCTGGACAGTTTGGTTTACCAGGTGAGAAAGGAGACAGTGGCTTCCCCGGACAACCAGGACGTGATGGAAACCCAGGATTACCTGGATTAGATGGATTACCAGGAATTAAAGGAGACCGAGGTTCGTACTAATTATAAAGATTATTTCATCTATTAACATCTATTCAACACTAAATAGATCTCTTCTGGTCAAGCATATAGTATATTTCTATTAATTTGCTTGCATGCAAAGAACCTAGAGATTTCCCATGAGGTAAATCTGGCAATTCCTTGTCATGAACAAGCATAGGATCAAACTTATTATTCTTGGATAGATGATAGATCTTTTAATCTACAGTGCAAACACAAACATTGGACCACCTAAACACCCAATACCCATTAGTGATACACTTTTGTCATATATTGTCCGTGATTTATGCACATAAATATCATCTGATACTATATTTTGTTCTCTCCAAATAGCTTTTCTTGAGGCAATTTACATATATATCATTTGAAAGAAAAGTCAACAGTGATGCATTATTATAGTTTCTTAACAGTATAGGGAAAAACTTGATATATTGCAGGTTTCCCTGGTTTAGATGGTCCTAAGGGAGAACGTGGTCAGCCTGCCAGTGTCCAAATTGTACAGTTACCTAAAGGAGATCCCGGTCTTGATGGTCTGCCTGGTACACCAGGTTTGATGGGACGAGATGGACTGAAGGGAGAACCAGGATTACCGGGTATGTAAACGTAAAGTAGAATTTGTACACTTGTGTATCGTGTATCATCAGATTCGGTAAATTAGATTTAATTAACCTACTATATTAACCTGCATATTTTTAAGATGTTTATTTACATGTAGGATTTGTTTGGGTAATTTGTTAAAGATTGCTACAAATTTGAATATATACAAGTTTATGTATGTGTGCACATTGAAATGTGGTTATGTCCACAATCTTACAAAAGTCTAAAGTTATCATCCAGTTGACTTGAAATTTTAGAAACAAAGGAATCATTTTAATTTCTAGTGATTTCCAATAGTTACTTTTAGAGTTATTGCCCTTGATCATTTGGAAAATTTTTGTGTCCTGTCTGAAGCAAAAATGATCATCCGATTAGTTAAAAATTTATAGTCACTGTTTATGCTAACAAAAAGAATCCTCGTGATTTTCAACTACATGTATTTCTGACCAAATGTCCTTGATCACTTTGATAAATTTTGTGGATGCTGTAGTGCCTAAAGTTGTCATCTGAAGACATGTATTGTTTATGTTAGTGCTGGAAAGAAGCCTGTCAATTTGATCAATTTTAAATAATTACATGGCCGAGAAAATTCCTCAGGATTTTCTGCAGTGGTTCCAATTTGTCAGTGGTGCAGGACGGAGAGCGTGACAAGTGGTGTTAGACAGAGGGGTCAAAACAAAGAGGTCCCATGTACATGTTGGCGTGCAGGTAATAGAATCAGCATGGCATACTGCTTGGTATCTTCATTGGTGCTGAACAGTAGAATGTTAAACTCCATTTCAACTTCAATTTGTGGACTGCCCAGATGACTTAACTGCTATTGGTGTGTGTTTTGTTGCCTACCAATCTATCTTTAGTTATCACATTTTTTTTGTTTAGGATTACCTGGATTAGATGGCCCAACAGGTGAAAATGGTCTACCAGGTTTCCCTGGTGAGAAGGGTGATATGGGAGATCGTGGTAATGATGGTTTACCAGGTTTAGATGGAGCACCAGGTATGCTCTTTATTGTTCTACTAATAACTAATGGGGTTTTAAAGCTGTAGAGACAAAACCAATCTGATTAAAACACAGATCCTATTTCGTTTCGTTTTTTTATAGTTTAAATTTTCATTTAACTTGTCTTTACTACACTAGGATCTGGAAGAGTTGTTATATAACCTTCATTTTGGTTAATGTGAGGGATTAGCCAATGAAACGGTCTGTTGCAGCGACTTACTGGCGTGTGATGCACGCAACTGTGGGTATCATACTAGAAACATCAACGCTGATTGGTTAATCAAATGTCTGACGTCTGAGTAGTAGAGGCTATCGAAAGTAAAAAAAAACGAAACAAAATATAGAGCTGTATTTTAATCGGATTGAGGCACAACCAGGAAATATTTAATATATCATTAAGAGAAAATAACTAATAGCTTGTTGAAGCTACATATTGTATAATGTACCATTGATTAAGACCACAAATAGTCAGTGGCGTTCATGAACTATATTCCAACAACCACACATACCTAGTGATGGATAACAACACTTGTGTTACTGCAATGTTTGATTCCTTTTAGGTTAAGTAAGAGCACAAGGCTTATGCAGTTGATAAAAGGTGGACAATTGGACAGAAAAAAGCTTCATTACTTTTGTTATGGGTTTCTATTTACTTTTATTGATTATTATTACTATTGGAAAGGGTAATTTATGCTATTTTGGTAAATGATAATATTATGTGTTATTTAAGGTCGTCGTGGTAATGATGGACTACCTGGAGAACGTGGTTTACCAGGTGTAACACCACCAACAGGATATTTATATGTACGTCACAGTCAATCTACAGATATACCAAGATGTCCTAATAATCAGAATCAGTTATGGAATGGTTACAGTTTGCTGTATATAGAAGGAAATGAAAAATCACATCACCAAGATTTAGGTAAGGAATTTAATAAATAGATGATCATCCCGAGGATAGTTCAATGCTCGATCAAACATCTCTCTTAAAACCAAATATAATCCATTACAGATTTATATATAAATGCAATGTTAAATATAATGCGTTTTGGTGTAGATTTGAATGCAGTTTTCGATGTTCCTCCCAAATTTCATACATCAGCATTTTGGTTTGCTTTATTTCTCTAAATTTTCTCATTTGGTCTGTTGATTGTTGCGCACTGGTGATTTTTCTATTCAGTTCTACTGAGATGACATGTTAGTACCAAATAGTTTTACTGTTCACACATTTTATTTAATTCCTTTTGTTATAATATTTCGATATTTTTCAACAGGTTGGGCTGGTTCATGTATGCAGAGATTTAGCACCATGCCATTCCTTTTCTGTAATACTAACGAAGTATGTAATTATGCTAGTAGAAACGATCGTTCCTATTGGTTGTCTACAAATGCTCCTATACCCATGATGCCTTTAGTAGAGCGTGAAATTCAACCATATATTAGTAGATGTGTAGTCTGTGATGCTCCAACCAATATTATCGCCGTACACAGTCAAACATTACAGATACCTGAATGTCCACGAAACTGGATTTCAATGTGGATAGGTTACAGTTTTGCTATGGTAAGTACTTGATCAACGTTTGTAAATTAGTTTTCTGTGAATCATTGTAGGGGGGAGGGGAGAGGTCAGGGTCTAGTGGACTAGTGTTCACTTTAGATCCTAAGGTCTGTCATTGGGTCAAATGGTGTGGTTTCTGTCCTTAAATGTTGCCTGCTCAACATTATGAGTTTTCTCCAGGGTCCTTTAGTTTCCTCCCAATGCTAAAGATCCCTAAGCGCAAGTGAATTTTGAAATTGTTAGACCAAAAATGATCTGGATTTTGTCCAGTAGCTGTAAAACCAAATTTCTGATTCTCCCTCAGAGTGAGTGAATTTAGCTGCGTAATGTTGCATACTTTACTGTGCGTCTTTTTGGTTAGCTGCAGGATATGGTGCTATGTCTTCAACACTGAAGGTGGTGAGTTTGTTTCCCAGCAGTAGCTTTTCCACATACTTTGGATATTAATCTGTAAGAGACTTTAGCAGCTGCAGGGAACTGTTAATGATTGGAATATATAAGGATTGATAATAACAAATAAAATGATATTCCAGCTCAACCATATTAAAGAAATACTATATTCTGGGCATCAAAGATGCTGATAATGTGTTAACTAAGTTTGTAAATTGGCATCTGGATTATGGCACATAGGAGATTTTAAAACATTCAAATCTTTTGCTTATCTTTAAATTAAGAAGTTATTCTGAATTCAGGATTGAGAAAGAAAAATTTATAATTCATTAACAGGGGAGGGCCTTAAAATGAACAAATTTTTGATTGGGGAAGATAAATTTATAACCTGAATTTCTTTAAATCCATATCTAACCATTGGTGAATTTAAGATTTTTACTGTAATAATGAGAGGCGTGTGCTGTAGTCAAGATGGAGGTCAACCGTTAAAATAACTAAAATAGATATAGCCTATTAACTGGTAGTAGATGTGTACCACATGTTGGTTCACAATATACCACATGGTACTGTATATAGACCTTATAGTATATCTATATAATCAATTTTATCCTATACCAGTTGCTCAGTATTCCATATGGACAGCAATCGGCAGTCTGTTAATCAAAAATGTTAAACTCACTGAACTCTATGCTGTAAATTCCTTAAAACCATGTCTTGCATATGATAAATATCATTTTAATCGACTGTTGGTGAATTTTCCATCAAATTATTATAAATAACTTTTGCTGGTTCAGTGGTTTCGAGCAGAAGATCAAGTGGGGCAACTCTTCTAAAAGAGAATCTTTGGTATGCTAAAAAAAAAAATACAAAATACCAACACAAATATTTTTGCTATCTTAGTAAAGAAACAAGTTGTTGAATATTATTCTAGAAAGATGTCATACAACCTGCCTTTTAAGCATGACATTTATCAATAATTGTATTGCAATGGAAGCATAGTTATAAAGCAACAAACTAGTTTATATTTTTTTATTTGTTGGCGATTCCATTAACATATAAAGAAATGTTTAAGAAAATTGCATTCTGAGCCTGTGAGTTTAGCATAATTAGCATTTTGCAACATGGTGAGACAGCCATATAAATGTCTCAGTATTAAAAGTGTTTCAAGACATTTTGCTGTATTTTCTGCATAACGGGTTCTGATTGATTTATAGAACTGGAGTTAACCAAACACATTCTATGAATTACTTAACAGGCCTTTCACACACATATGTCTTTATAAGGTGATGTAGTGTACGAAAAATCGGTATAACTTCAATTTGTTTGTAATCGCAATTGTACAGATATTTATTAACACTACGTTTGATTATAATTTTTAATTATTTTTTCAGCACACTGCCGCTGGTCCAGGAGGCGGTGGTCAATCATTATCCAGCCCTGGTAGCTGTCTGGAAGATTTCAGGGCCACACCGTTTATTGAATGTAATGGAGCTAGAGGTACCTGTCATTTCTTTGCCAATAAATATAGTTTCTGGCTCACTACTATAGAACAGGATCAACAATTTAGTCAGCCCCGGTCTCAAACATTGAAGGCTGGTAACCTTCGAACCCGAGTTAGTCGATGTCAAGTTTGTATGAAAAGCGTGTGAAGTTATTTGGTCTCTTTGTAGTATTTGTACAACTTTTTGTAGTATTATTTTTTTGGGAAAAAAAAACTGCCATGTTTTTGTATAGAAGCAACATTATGTGATGTTTTGTTTTTATTATGGAAATCCATTTCGATGTCTATAATTTTATTGTTGATGAAAAGGTGGACCATTTGGTTGCCTTGGTAATCTATGTTCTATGGTGCTGTAAGTAAGTCAAATGTGCACGAGTACATTACAATGCTCAAAGGATTATTATATTTTATGGTAGTATTCCTACACATGTCCACTCATAGTTAGGGTATTAGAAAACAGAGGCTTTTTTTGTTAACTCAAGTTATATATTGTTTATGTACTGGGATAAAGGAATAAATAGTAAATATAAAGGAGAATAAAATCAAAAGGTTTGAAATTTTGTTAAAACTGAATATGGTTATAAATAGAAATGGATATATAGATTGGCCCGGATATGCTATATATAATAACAGACGTATAAATTGCCCTGCCTCTGTTTTCTAAATATAGTAACTATGAGTGATTGGATTGACTGGAAACGTACATCTGTGATTAATATAACTCACTGCCATCCACTATGATCCCAGTTCATCCAATATGTCCCAAACATTTTGAACAGTATGTTAGTGTATAAGTGTCACATGATGGCACTGCTGTAGAGCCCATGTAAGATGATGGCAGAGAATGTTTCAAGATGTTAATGACATATTGGAATACAAAATGTTATATAAGTGATTTTCTAGTCAAGACAACTAATTGTATAACTATAATTAATTCTTTGAAATACTGATTAAATTAGAACTTTGAACTTTATTACCAGCTTTAAGCAATATTTTTTTTAACCTCTATATAGGTACAATGTATTATTCTTTTATACATACGCTATCATATTGTAATTATGTAAGTTAATAGAAATTATGTGCATGTTGTCTCTGTATCTAGGTGCTATGTACATTGTTATCTTTTCAATTTCATGTTATTCGCTAGATAATTTTAAAAGAAAAGAAAATTTGTGTAGTTTTTAACAAAAATATATATTAGTTTGTAGTTTAAATCTTCGATCCTAAACATATTTTTATCCCAATGTTTTTATGTTTCATTTATTTTGGACACAAATTATAAGGAAAAATGTCAAATATTTTGTATAGCTAATGAGAAAGGTGTGATCTTTCTAAAAAACACAAATCTGAAAGATTCAACTATTTGCACTTGCAAAATCTCTCTTTTTTAAAGAAAACTGAAAAAAAAACCTTTTTAAATTTTTAACATCAAATTAAAAGCAAGAGTTAAGATCTCAATTATGTCGCCATACTTCATATGTTCTCATTATTATAATGTATATATATATTATAATGCATAGTTATTGTTTCAAATTATGTACATTATTATGAATCCGGCCAATAGATATGTGTCTTTTAGTTAACATTGAGATTAATGTTCCAAATTTTATCTGAAATTTCCTTCAGGTTTTTTTTAAAGTAATTTCTTAATGTGCAATCTTACTCATATTGCAATATCTGTAAACATTGGGTATTGAACAAATAAAAAGGTTTTTACAAGATCTTTTTCTGGTTTGAGTTTTTCTTTGTGAATATTTTGTAATATATTTTATTGATTCTGAATATACACCTTTCGACCCCCTATTTTTCTGAAACAGTTTTTTTTTAACCTCTAATATCCAAGTCTACTTTGACGTATGCTCTCACTAATACTGTCGTTATGTCGTGTTGACGGGTTATGAAAATGGCGAAAAATTACATGGCCAATATCAGCCACCATAGTATTTTAAAAAATCTGCGTTAGAAAATCGTGAGTAGATAATCTGAAGTGGAAAGTGGAAAGTCGAGAGTTAAAAGTTAACAGTAGAAAGCGGAAAGTCAAAAGTTTATAGTAGAAAGTAGAAATTATGTCCATGAAAGTTGAAAAGCTTGATGTTTCTGCAGACTAAGTACATAAATTTATAGGTTTTCACCATAAAAATACCCTTTTAGATAAGAATTTTTCCGTTTACTTTAGATTTTCTACTTTTTACTGTTGACTTTCTGCTTTTTACTCTAGATTGCATTTTGAACCCGATACCCCGCCATACATATGGACTGTTCACCGTGTACAAAATACACGACAAACAGTGGTAACAGGTGTCCGGAAGAGTAAGCGTACCCTGCCTGGCGCCACAAGAAACTTCATCCAACTTGAGTAAGGGATGTTAACCTAAGCCTTTAGTAAGACAACACGTGGGTTGGGGTGTGTCACTAAAGTACACTGGGATATCCATAAACCCTTTCCTGTTTATATCATCAAAAGGCTGACCAAGACTATCAAAAAGCAGGATACATATAATCCTGGCAACCACAGCTTCCGATATAAATATATCCCGTAATCCTTGCTAATATGGCTATTGACCTTGGTATCTAACTTGGACACGAAATGCCTGTAAATCTAGCCTATCTATTCTATCTGAATTCATTCTAGCAATAACCGAACAAATACAAGCAATAACTGTAATATGTCCACAATTAATATCATGTTATTGCGCTCCGTGGATTATGTCAATTCACAAACTGATGAAGATAAATTATCTGAATAGCGCACACCATGGATTATTTGTCGCTGATTTTGTTTCGATGACAAACCGTCACGTTAAAGATAGGGCCTATACATTAGTTAGGAGCTAAATCTGCCTATTGCAAGTCTTTCTTTAGGTTTCAGATGTTATAGAAAGGATTAATTAGACTTTTATTTACATGACAAGCTCAAAATCAACTCTGTAGACCCTCGGGTGGCTTGAATACAGCTTAGATTTAAACAGTCGCCCATTTAATAATTAAATCAATAAATGGCTGACCAAGCTAAAGTTTACCGTTAGTCACTGGCGTCACTACCGGAGACTGCCGATGAAAGGCCTGCCAATCGAGGGTACCGTAGCCATTAGGAATGTTACATAGAGAATAATACTTTATTCATATACTTTATTCAGCTCGACGCAAGACTTAAAATGAATAGATGTGGTTTGTTTAACTTGAATGTAGATATTATATATCTATGTTGCATATATATGACCTTTCGGTTGAATCATATCATAGAAATATCTTATTTTATAGTTTTATATGTCGACATTAAGGTGTACTTGTTCTATTGTTCCATTTAGCCTATGCATTTTCTTGTTTCACTTGACTAAACAAAACATTTTATAGGAATGTAGGTTTTTATAGATTGAACAAAAAGCTGATAATGTTGAGTTGAGATGTGTGGAACATGCTCGAGGAGATTTGTAATCGAGGAGATATAATATATTTGATACCACATGTAGTTGAGCATCAGAAAAACATGATTATTTCATTGGAAATGGGGCGCAAATACCCAAAGGAGTCTGACAAACACCAAAGCAACCGCGTCTCATTCACTGGGCCCCTTCAATGTCTGTCTACCTGTGGAATAACATGTTCATGACATCATTTGTATCTGTGCTGTTTATACTGTATTTTAGATTAATAATAGAGACTTTTAGCAAGCGGATTTTCATCCCATCCGTATCACGTATCCGTCGTATCGTCACGTGATACGTTGCGTCAATGTAGTTTTAGAGTTTTGGCAGATTTTCCCGCCGCATACGTATGAGTAGCTGAGCTGAGCTTAGTTCTATTACAGCATGATAGCAGTTATCTGCCAAGATCACCATCAGTACTAGTCAAGTGCCCAGCCTACAAATTCCTGCAGGGAGTAAAGTCGCTCGATAGTCGCTGAGGCATTAAAAAAAACATTTAATGTCGAATCTTATTAAAAATCTTCGACTTCGACTCGACGGCATTTTTTTTGGTTTCACTAATGTATCATTTCAGAAAATTTTGCACCTAGATCAAAAATCTTCGACTCAACAGCAATTTTTGGTTTCAATAATTATCATTTCAGAAAATTTATACCCCGTTACCACAGAATTACATCATTTACAGATTTGCAAGGTGCACTCCCTAAATTTAGTACGTAGATCAACAAGCATGTAGACAGACAGGAAAAATATGAAAATTTCGAGAATAACTCATCAAAAAAAATGATTACATTCCAGTCTTTATAATGGTTAAAATCACTTCAAATATACACCTTTAATTGTGTTCTAGGATACACATATTTTCATAAACACGCTATGGTATAACAGTTCAGTGTCTAAAAGGTAGCAAAAAAGACGGTAAAAAACATATGAGATATCCATCTACATCCCTGTCATGTCCTATCATACTGTTGTGTTTATGTTGGCTGCCAATGACAGGGATGTAGATGGATATCTCATAGAATTCCGCGAAAAAGAGATAAAATATACATTTTTTAAACGAAAAGTATAGCTGAACAAACTATTATTATTATTATAAAACAAAAAGCGCACATTATTGTTATAATAATATAGTCCAATTCATAAGAAAATGAAATGAATGATACACCAGATAAAAGCGCTATTAAATATATTTAACTTGCATACGCTTTTAAAAATCAGATTTTTTGTGCAGACGGGTAAAGTGAAAAATTAAAATTTAAATTATATAGTAATTTGGGAGATAAAACCTTTTTGCCTTCTAGCTGGCAAAATAAATGCCTGAAATTCCATTATTTTTTGGTCTGGAGCCATTCCGGATTGGGTCATCAATCATTAATTGTATCATCAATTTTTCGAAAATAGAAATTTCTTTAAATTGACTAGATAAAACATTTAAAATCAGTGAAGCTTAAAATCAGTGTAATTTAAAGAAGCTAAATCGCTAATATTTGGGAGCTAGAAATTGACATAAATGGGTCGCAAAGCATATAATAATGTAATATGAATGTATATAAATTGATTTACGTTCAATCGTTTCCGTTTTTACTCTAATTTCAAAGCAGTTATGTTCGGCGAAATACCGAATCAGTTTATTTACATTTATATTACATTATTTCCGACCCATTTGTGTCAATTTGTAAGTCCCAAATATTATCGATTTACCTTTAAATAAAAGGTGTGTAGCGTATCATGTGTTTCGGGCATATTGTTTCATCAGTGACATGTGAGACGAGATATCGCTCTACGAAACTTCCTGGTGTCTTTTGCAATTTGTTTGGGGTAAGACGTTATCTCTCCCCGCCCATGCAGGGGCGGATTGGGCTGAACATTATATGGGGGGGGGGGGGTATTGGACCGGCCATGGAGCGATGATGATCATGTTGTATGTGGCCGGTGACTTTAACGGGCCGCCAAGCCATCACTGGGGTCTGGAATGGGCTGGTATAATAGACTTTCTGGGCCGGGTGTGCTAGGTGTGGGCCGGAATTCGGAATCCTGCGATTAGGGTTTCGGATTTCATCCGAAAATTTCATCGGATTCACCCGACGCTGTCGCCAGAAACGTCTGCCGATGGTTCGTAACTCAAAAAAAAAAAATCATTTTTAAGGCCTCAGCAAAATTTGATGTTGCTGGTCTTGACGATACAATGATAATCGGTTGATGGTTGTAAATTACTTGCAGGTTGGGGTTTTGGCCTAAATTAATCGACTGATGAGATATATTATTTGACAGAGATTATAATCAGATATGCCACCAAATCGCATATTTGGGGTTCCATTTTTCAAAATTTAATGGGGGAGAGCCCCCGGACCCTCCCTCCGGGCTCCGCGGTCAGTAAAAGGGGTCGATCATGCGCCCATGAGTAAATAATAATATTAATCTAATATATAAACCTCACAAATTTAACAGATACAAATAATGTACATGTTATTCCACAGATAGACATACATTGGAGGTGCCCAGTGAAGGAGACGCAGTTGCTTTAGTGTTTGTCCGACACCTTTGGGTATTTGCGTCCCATACCCAGTGAAATAATCATGTTTTTCTGATGCTCAACTAGTATCAAATATATACTCTTCATAAAAAGTAGGGGATATTCAGAAACAATACAAAAGTGCGGAAATGCACTGCTGTTTTTATTAGAGGTAACCAGTGTATGTTAATAAAAGGCCAATGCCCTACACATGAATATAAACATTTCATATGGGCGGCTTATCTGACGGTCCCTTTACACTCGCAAATAGCTACACCGTCAAAAGTGAAAATGAACGTTTTTGATGTTTGTCTTAAAAATGAGTAATTGCTCCACCAATCCTCAGGCATTCAGCAATTCGTCGTGGCATGCTCTTAATGAACTCTCCAGTCACGATTTGGGGCAATCTGACCCACTCCTCTTGCAGTGCGACGGCTAATTCTTGCAGTGTTGTCCGTTGACGTCGACGAACACATCTCCCGATCAAATTAAACGTAACACACTAAAGCAAAGATACGCTAAACAGTAAATATTATGCAAGAACCGATGGGAAAGCAAACATGGATAGATAAACCAGCACGCGGCAGTTTTCATCAACCCTTCCTTGAAGTGTCAAATTTGACAATGAACCCTCGCGTATGGCGGTATTGCGTGTCGCATGTGCCGCTCAGTGGTTCTGTTGGGGCGATAAGTTCTTCATACGTGAACATACTCTCAAAGCATGTCTAGTGTCCATGACTACACATATTACAACCTGCATAGGTATTTGCATTTTAATATCCCCTAGAGTATATCGTGCCTGTTACAAATCGCCTCGAGCATGTTCCACACATCTCAACATTTATCAGCTTTTTGTTTAATCTAGGCCTATAAAAGCCTACATTCCTACACAATGTTTTGTTTAGTCAAGTGAAACAAGAAAATGTATAGGCTAAATGGAACTATAGAACATGTACACCTTAATGTCGACAAATACGTAAAACTATCAAATAAGATATTCCTATGATATGATTCAACCGAAAGGTCCTATATATGCATGATATATCTACATTCAAGTTAAACGAACCGCATCTATTCATTTTGAATTACTACCATCAAGAATTATCGCTGCCCTTTTATTACCAAATTAATGGGGTTTTATTTTTCGTTTTTTTTTTAATTTGGCAGTTACTTTGAAAGAAATGCCCGCCGTCAAATGAAAAATACATTTTTAAATTGATGTTTGTCAAATTCGATTTTTCGACACACTTGGCTTGCATAACCACTCTGTGTTTGAGGAATTTAAAAATAAATTATTTGTCCTACCACCACTGAAAGACACTGATTACGATATAGCGCTCTCGATAATTCCCGAAGAACGCCAAATTGAATTATGTTAATCATGTCATTTTGCCTTGGCCGATTTTGAGTATGATTTTGTCTGACATATTATCATTGAACCAAACCGCATTGATTTCTTTTGCAATTTGTTAAGTATAAATTGTAGCCCGTAAAACGTTATACCAAGAAAAAAATAAAACGTTTTGTTAAGTAAAGCTATATGACGCCATGACGTCATAGTTTTTGTGACGTCATAGTTGGGACCCAAAATGGCGCCTGTAAATGAGTTGTCGTAACCATAGAACCAAATCTATGTCGTAACTTTCCCTACAGGGCTTTGGGTACAAATACTTGGGACCCAAGATGGCGTCTTTGTACACTTGACGTCATATTTTCATGACGTTATATGAAATTTCTGGCTTCACAGAGTCGCAACTTTATCTACGGCTTTGGCCTATGACGTCAAACCTACTTATGCTTTAAAATGTGGGGAAAACAAGCTTTTAACAATTCGATTTATAAAAGTTGATTCTTTTGTACCCGTGTCAGGTAGGATTATATGCTTATTTGTAGTTGGATGTCACAGAAATGTAATAAATAACAAAATATCAATTGTTGTTTTGAACAAAACAACTGACATGCTGTTTTGCTTATTGAAGTAGGCTTACTAATACTATGTTAATCACATCTGCACCTACGAGAAAGAACTATATAGTACATTCCCTTATCTTGCGACACGCAGGGTCGAGAGATGCGGTCTCTTTTCTAAATTTATGAAAAGGGGGTTTTAGCGCCCTACTTTTCTGCTCCGTCTGGGCTATTGAAGACGGGGGTCATAAACAGAAACAAACCGGGTTTCGGGGGTCAAATCGATTATAGATTAAGGTAAATGTAATGTTACTAAACAAACATATTATCACGTGTGTTTAATAGATATACTATTAATGTATAACCTTTGATACATTGGTTATGCTATCCAATCTTAATGACCGGGCTCGATTCGTTATCACTGATAACATCTGAGGCGTAGCCAGTATTTTAAAACGAGGTGTGGCTTCTAATGACTAGGGACTATTCGGCATTTTAATGACAATTATGCGCTGAAACTGAAACTGAAACTGGTAGCCATCTTTCAACAACATTGTCTCCGTTTACCTTCTAATGTTCCTTTTGTGGACTCCACCTCCTTAGCGAAATCAAGAGGGTCGTGAACCCCCGTGCTCGCACTAGGTTTCACAATTGCATACAAAGTCAGTCTTGCATCACAAGACTATAGTATTGTTGCAGAAGTGATTAAACAATTGAGTGAGGTTTTTCACCCTTTGATATTTGACTTTTAAAGTAGCAAAATGGGTTCTATGCGTTTATTTTTCAGCATTTCTTTGTTTTGTATTGCGAGTAGTAGTATTTTGAAATTCAGACCATCAAACGATGTACAAGATTTGTATGACTACTTGATGAAACCATCCGTTCCATCCAGAAACAGGAATCCTGAATATTATAAACAGTTTGTAAGTGTGTTAATTTAATTTACTTTAAGAGAAGAACGATGGATTTTTTTACTACCGATTAGTCTAATGACTTTTATTGGCAATCGGCAAACGAGTAGCTGCGCGGATTAAACCTTTGGGGACCGGTAGGTATCGAGTCTGTGCCGAAAGACCTGGAGGTAACGCCGGTTGGCATTATTCAGACCATAGGTGTAAGAGTCAGGTGGGGGGGGGCAGCTGCCCCCTAACTTTACGGCACTCTTACTTTTCGGGCGACGATTGATTGGGATTTGGGGATTAAGGTAAGTCACCTAAGGTAGGCAATATTGGACCACATTGAAATTGCTGTATTCTCGGGCTGGAATAGCGTTTTTACAAAATTTAAAAGTCACGTCATGATCCAAATGTATAAATAATGAATTACACCAACCGTATATTTATCGTTGATGTTATACATACGTATACAATTTCACATATCGTTTTCTTTATATTATATTATTATATTGTTATTGGCATACGTATTTCAACAAGGACCATGCTCAAATATTTTTACACGTGACGGCGTTAAGTAGCATAAAAGGTCTGACTATTCATTTTATTCGTGCAATACGATATAAATAGATGTTAACGCTAGGTTCTCACTACACAGGGGTTCTACACGGTAAGCTGTGCGCCTTAGCTTCACGCGGACGACCGGTACAGTCATCTGTAACCCGAACATTTTTCGGGCATTTTGAATAGCAGTAAAATTTAGCTTTTTGGTTATTACAGCAGCTTTAGAAATTACGTTCGTTTTATTTTTTTTAAATTGCTTTATCATTAACTGTACCGTTAGGAGCGGCATCTTTTGGTTTAGTACAAATAATCTCTGAAACGCTTTGGTTAGGCAAGAACATGATACTAAGCAGTAGTTTCATTTTACTTTTACAAGTTGTCTGGAGGCTCAGTGCAAGGGGTGTCCATCAAATGGGCACAAAACCAGACCCAACTTTTCTAGAGTAAAATCTTGCGTAGAATACGATGCCGAGTGGTAATCAGTCCGCCGTTGAGGCGTTTTCGAGATATTCGGGGTCAAAGGTCAAATGGGTTCATTTGCACTGATGTTATGGGCGACACTCGTAACCATCTTTCAGTGTATTATTTATGAATGAAATTAAATGAAATGGGGATTAACGTCCTACTGTTCTGCTCCTAACCTGGGCTAATGAAGACGTGCATACGCCATACAGTGTGCTATGAGGGAAATTTTGTCCGGGCAGCGGCGCTACGGCCTACTCTTATATCGAATTCCGACTGCCAAGGGGTCTTTTACGTGCACGCCAATGTGTACACGAGACCTCGGTTTTTCGTACCATCCGAACGACTAGACAGCTGTCCTTGTCAGGCCATCCGTCCTGCATCACTGACAAGGGGAAACCACGCCGGAAAATCGGAATGAACTTTCTCGGCCAATGCAGGGATCGAAAACTCGACCTCCAGGCTAGCGAGCCAGCGTCTTACCCACTTAGCCACGTGATCCCCTGTATTATTTATAGATGGTTAAATGGTCATAGCTTATTAAGTACATGACCGTTTATTTAGTGACTATAAATGTGCGAAACCGATTTAAGTCGTGGTGTATATATATATATATAAAAATTATGTGGTGTAATTGTCGAGATATTTGGAGATATTGATTTATGCTGGGTCACCCTAATATAAGTAGAACGTGAACATCTTACATGATGATGATGATCACTGTCTGTCTTTTTGTACTTTATCTTGGAAATACGAATTTTGAGATTATGCGGGCGAATTTTCCTTTGTTGTGTCGAATATCGCTTCAAGAGGGGTGGCGTTTTATTGATATGATGGGCCGATTTGATTTTCTAATGCTGATGTTCTGATGGCGTCGCCCCCACCCCCTGGAAAAAATATGTGTGTGCGCCCCTAATCATAGACATAAGAACTGAAACTGTTATTATTGTCTTCGTACCAAACCATCTTGTGAACCTACCCGTTGGAATCAACTGAAATGGACAAAAATGACAAAAGGGCAGCCATCAAGTACCGCCAACTGAAATGACTAAGCTCAGTAAAGGAGTGGTCTGCAGAATTTAAGTGTGGCACACAGAGAGTCTTGACGATGATCCGCGTCCTGGAAGACCATCAACAGCAACCATTCAAGAAAACATTACCCGGGTGCATGGCAGGGTGATTGTTGATCGACGATTGACCACTTGACCTATGCCAGTGGTGTGGGCATCTCTCATAAGAGGGTTGGGCACATTATTGCCAACAAGTTAGGAATGACAACAGTTTCTACAAGATGGGTGTCAATTATTGCTTTTGAGTGCGGATCAGAAACGTGTCAGATTCCTGACGTCCCGTGACAATCTGCGCCGTTTTGAAGCAGATCCTGATATTTTTAGGGCCAGATTTGTAACCATGGATGAGACATGTTTCCAAAAATGAAAAAGGAACTAGCCAGTCGTCATTTTCCTAGTAATGATGACGTCATGTCAGCTGTGAACGACATTTTTGAGTGGCTGAAGAAAATTTCTTCCTGACCGGCATCCAGGCCTTGCAACATCGTTGGCAAAAGTGCGTACACCTCGAAGGGGACTATGTAGAAAAATAAATGGAAACCATCGACTTTGTACAGGTCATTCACAGATAGGTGTAGAACTTTTCAGCCAGCCCTCGTACAGTGATAAGATTGAAATATTCAAATTTCTCCCCGGTTGCGAATCCTGAAATCAGCATTATTCAAATTTCTCCCCTGTTGCCAAACGCCAAATCAGCATTATTTAGATTTCTCCGTTGTTGCCAACATGAAATCAGCAATATTTAAATATACAGAAAATTTTATTATATGAACATGTTTCAGGGTTTAGAGGTTCCGACACAGTTGAAAGCATTCAGTTATACGAATTGTGGAAACCCGGCGACAGAGCTGGCTGTATTGACAGCATTAACTGTTTCACCTGATCCAATAGCTCTTCCTGGAACAGTTACTATTGGGTTTGGCGTGAATATCAGAAAAACATTTGACTCTCCACTTCAGGTAATATACACATGGCATATTGTGCATACATTTTTATCAACATATTAAATATAACAAAACTATACAGTTATATGGGACAACAATCACTGGTTTATTATACACAAGCACGACGTTTCGATAAGTATTCTCTTATCGTTATCAAACGTCGTGCTTGTGTATAATAAACCAGTGATTGTTGTCCCATATAACTGTATAGTTTTGTTATGTTTCCAATTGCTAAATGCCACTAAAGGATTATATTAAATATATTAAACAAGTCACTAAAGGCTTACACCTAAACAATGAATTTTTTAAAAAGGATTCTAACAGCATGAGCCTTATTGTCGTCATATGAGACGGTAAAGTCAAATAAATTTCATATTTTTTCATGTTTAAATCGACGTGAACTTACAGTCGTTCTTCCAATCTCCCCAGATTTTTAAAGTTACTCAACGAATTATCAAGCACATAAGCACCTAACAAATGTTTCTTTGGTAGGCCCCCGTAGCTCCCACCATGGTAGGGGAGGCTGCTGGCAAACCGAGGACACTACACACCACATCTTAAATCAAACCCATTTAGCCCTTTAGTCTTATGATATCAACTGTTTTGTAGATGAGTGTTAAGATAGAAAAATCTGTTTTTGGAACTTATATCACCATCCCATGTGTTGAGAATTTTGGATCCTGTGACTATTCTGATTTCTGTGCAATCCTGGCTGGTGTTCAGTGTCCAGGTGAATTTGTCGACAAAGGAATCCCTTGTAAATGTCCATTCACTAATGTAAGTATTCCTCCAAAATCACACCAGAGACATCTCATTAGCTAAATGTTTCTGTCATTTTGAGACTAAAGTGTGATTAATTTATTTATTATGGCAGAATGTTGTATTGTCAATTAAAATGTTGCCCCAGAACTTTAGGCTCCTTACAAGATAGCCACGCAAAGCGTGGAAATACGCCACACAGCAGCCGTGTCTCATCTGCAGCTTATCCGAATAATAACACGGATGTTGGCCAAATTTGATAAGGATTTAGGATCCTCCAAGAAATTTAATCTCTATCCTGCTCACAGGCTTTTCCGGGCACATAATATATCTCTAGAACAGAAAGTCATATAGATGGCTGAAAATCAACAGAGTTCATACTTTCTGAAGGCAATGCTTTTATAGAAAGAAGGGACTACTCTGAAATACAGAATATCGATAGGGATCGTCGTCTCATGACCCGAATGCTTCACACCAAATTTAATAACAATCTGTTAAATATTGCCGCCTATATTCCGTTAAAGGAAATCGCGATGTCAGAATGATAAGTCTCTATTCAAGTCTATAGCTCTACGGCAGATGATTAGGGTTTTTCCTAACGTTACCAAAATGCTTCACACAAAAGTTGAATAGAATCCGTTGAAAACTACAGCCCGGTATCGCGTTCACGGTGTTTTCAGCAAAATGGGTAAAACTCTGGTATGGAAAGTAGCGGGACGCTGAATATTGGTTGTCCTCTCATGACCACAATGGTTCACATCATATTTGAAAAAAAAATCCTTAAAAAAACATAGACTCTATCGTGTACGCATGGTTTTTGACCAACAGGGCATAACACTGGAAAGTCGTGAAACGCAGATTCCTTGATAGTTGGAAATCGACGGATGGGTTGAAACGCCATTGGCAATGCACATGTATACTGATATAATTCAAAATTACCGTATGTTTTGCTCAAATTGACATTCTGATGAAGGGACATTAAACACACGACAACAAACATGAAAAGCACATTGATATTTTTTTTTAATTAACCCGGACTGGGGCTACCGTACACCCCCACCTGTGTTTTGTATAGCGTTGTTTCATTTTCTTGTGGTTATATATATTTCAGGGAAACTACACTTTACCTGGTATAAGTTTTCCCGTCGATGTGCCTTTCTTACCAAGTGGAGACTACAGGGCTTCAGCTAATATGACATATAATGGTCTAAATGTAGGCTGTTATCAAATAATGGCAACGTTTGCTTAATTTCTTTAAATCATCACCTTAATCAGGTTTTAACTCACTTGGTCTTTTTATGTGGAATGTGGATACGTCGATAGAGCGCAGAATCTATATAAAATAATAAATTCCCAAATAACGGTAGTTATATCGAATATGTTTTGACCCATATATGATTCCTATCCACCCACCTTCCCTCCCTAAAAAAATTTTAAAAAAAGATTAAAACTCATGCGTTTTTTAGTGTTTTTGAGAAGAAAATCTTTAGTTTTAGGTTTGTTTTTTTAGTTCTCACCTAGGTGAGAATATTCCGGTCGACAAATTTTGGTACTTTCCCTAGTGTTGGATCTTGCGTCCTCCTAAATTAAAGGAAGGATATATCTTGGGTTGTAGCGGAGGCCCCAACTGAAGCATACTTTATTTTAGCTTATATGTTCACTTTAAATATAAAGTTTGCTTCATACGAAAGACGATAATATCTATTTCAAATTGTTTTTGTTCCGATAAGCCTACCCTTACATGTTCTGTTGCGAATCACCCTTTTGACGATCATGACCCCATGTGGAAATATCGGAACAAATACAATTTTAGGTAGATATCGTCTTTGGTATGAAGCATACTTTATATTTAAAGTGAACATATAAGCTAAAATAAAGTATGCTTCAGTTGAAAGACGCCACATAAGCTTCAGTCAATCAATCGATTAACATGACTTTATATTTAAATATATTTATCCTGATGGTACTTAACGTAACTGTATAGCGAACAAATAATGTTTGGTGGTTTTATTGGTCGCTAGGATCCAACGAGAGGTAGGGGGCTTCCTTCGGGCATCGATCCCGGTTACCCCCCTTCCACCCCCAATAATCCTGGCAACATCGCCATATAAGCGAAATAATATTGAGCGTATAAAACATTAATCAATCAAATTGTTTTATGTATTTTTTATTTCAAATATCTTTTGTTTTCGGGCAGGTTCCATCACTTTTGCTGAATGACATACTTTTCTTGTTTTTCAGAATGTAGTCATACTCGTCACTTTCTGTGTAGTTAATTTGCGCTCTTCTTTGGAACCGCCCTGTTTGTACACATGAAAACGAGACCTATTAGTAACACGTGAGTTCCCACCGAGGTGAAAAGGTTTTCACCTAGGTGAAAACCTTTCCACCGTATCACCTAGGTGAAAACGTTTCCACCTAGGTGAAAACGTTTCCACCGAGGTGAAAAGGTTTTTACCTAGGTGAAAACTCAAAAAACAAACCTTAAACTAAAAAAAACAAACTTAAAATTAAAAAATAAAACCCAAAACTAAAAAATATTTAAAAGTCGTATATGGGCCACCGTAGCCACCGTATATATGTGCATTGGCTTTAGTAGCATTAGAGATTCTTTCAAAAAAGGCCTACTTGAAAAATCCTCTCAAGTTTTTTTTAGGCCGACATTTAAGTTAGTAAAAAGTTTATGTAGGAACCACGCCGGAAAACAAAAATGAACTTCCTCGGCCACACAAGGATTCAGCACGGGACCGCCAGGTTAGCAAGCCAACGACTTACTCGCCGAGCCACCACGGCTCCCACAATATGTTCCTCATATCAATTTGACAGTCCGTATAGTATATTCGTATTGGAATAAAACTCCGGTCGTACGGTAATAAAAATCGGAATTCCAGCCATTTGCACTTGTGTGTGTGTGTGTGTGTGTGGGGGGGGGGGGAGCGAGGGCTTTAATTTTCAGAGACACACAAGGCCAGTAGTAGATCGAAGAGAAAGGGGTCACAAAGAAATTGTAAAGCTGCAATAGGTATATCTATTAGAAAACAGCGCATCAATGGTTCGGTGACTTTTGTTCTTCAATAAATCTACCTCACGCAGTTTATAGGTTGTTATAAAGTTCGTGTCCATCTGTATACTGGGAGAAAGGCTTTGTTAATCATTTCATTATACTCTGCCTTTATTGATTCATTGTATTTGTATACCCTGTTCAGTGTCAAAAGCATAATTCAACAATTACTTTGGAAAAAAGGCGACGGCCTCTACACTACCTTTATAATGACATCATATTTTCTGAAGCCAAGAAATGTTTAAAAAGTAAATGAATGAAAAAATAAACCCCCAAAGATTTTTTTAAAGGCGACTGTTAATATTATTGGGCATGCAGGGCAGTATAGGCTACATTAAGCAATTCGATATCGGCTGCATACATAGGCGAGAATAAAACTGTCCTCATTATGACACGACCCCATGTCTCGATTTAACTTTTTGGTGGTCATGGCCCATTAAATAGCAATCAAATTGAATCTGGACAGTATTAATGATTACTTTCGAATTGAATGTAATCATAAAGAAAAAGAAAGACGAAAGAGTTTATTGTACTAAACCACATAAGAAAACAAAAGCAGGCCTTAGTAACAATAAAATCACGCAGATCTATTCAGTCGACTTAATAACCCACTGAAAGGTGGATGCCTTTCCTTCTACAGTGGTTTGGTTTGGGGTTATGTTTTAACTAAAATTAAAGCATTCGATTATCCAGACATATTGTAACAGTAACCCGCCAATGGTCCCATGTTTTCTGGTAAATTCTCGGTGTCATATATTCAACAAAATATCAAGTGGCCGTATTTAAACCTATTACCAATCTTCTTAATAATATTAAAAACATTTAATGATTTGGTTTCTTCCTGGACATCACGAAAAATAGAACAGCTTGGCGTTTTCACACGTCTGGATATATTGGACTAGAAGATTACGGTGGACAGCCATCATTATACGGAAAAGGCACGAAGCTTGTTATTGGCCCTTAGGATATGCATACTAATAATCACACTGACCAACAATAAAATAATATTCGCTATGCCGGTACTATGACCAACAGTGAATATTCGCTATTGCCGCTACTTATCACTAATAAGGATGACATCGATGCTATTTAATAAGCCCCAAATATTAACTTTTTTCCTCCGACAAATTAAATTCTAAAACAATTTTTTTATGTATTAGAGTAATAAATAAAGACGTTTTGAGTATTTGTAGGTAAAAATTATTTCCTATTTAGTGTAAATAGGTATTAAAACGAGTAAAAGACACGATTCTGCCCGAACCAGTATAACGTCTTATGTAAACAATGCACGTGCCATTGAGCCAATGATTGACGCCGTGTGACGTGACGTTACGTGTTGAAGGCAGTCAACTTTTACAGAGATATTAGAAGACATTCGTATAATCCTCCGTGAAACAGATTAACTAATAATGTAGGCTTTTAAATAATGCCCATGGCATTAGTTAGGCGGAAATTAAGAAGCATACCACACCTTGATCCAGACTCTAACAGTGGTTCTCATACTTATGTTTTACCAACGCACACCTTAGAACACCTGGAAAAATAGCGGCACACCTGGCTAAATATATATGAAAAAATATTTGAATTTTGCAAAATAGAAACATGGCAAGTCGTAGACGGCATACAACTGTAGACAATGACTAGTCACATGGAATGACTGAAACTAAATGAAACCAGTCGTTGTCAGGAAAGATACGCCCACATTTTGCAAGAGATGGATAGAGAACAAGCTAAGACCTCCCCCCCCCCCCAAAAAAAAACCAACAACAAAAAAACCGAGATTTTTACGGGCCATAATCCAATAAGTTCTGGTCTGATACGCGAATATCAAAAGGGACTAAAATCTTTGGGATATAAAGATATATTATACGCTTCGTCAAAATCGGACAAAAACTGTGACCTCTTAGAGGGTCCACAACCTTCGTATAATTACATCCTTGCACACAATTTGCGTACAAGGAACGGACATTTTGTCGGGCAGTTTCGTTTCAATTTTTCCGAAATTCATACTCAACCCTCAACCTTCATTATGGTGGAACGCTGATATATTTAAACGGTTTTTAAAATCTGATAAAAAAAATTGTGTCCTCTAGAGGATCCACGAGCTAAAAATGTGATTTTTCGTACAATCAAGGGCCATAATCCAGGAAGTTATGGTCAGATATGTGCAAATATCCAAAGGAACTGAGGTCTATGAGATATAAACATATTTTTTTTAAGTTTCATCAAAATCGGACAAAAATTGTGACCTCTAGCAGGTCCACAACCTTGATATTACATACTTTTACACAATTTGCGTTCAAGGATAAGCCCTAACGATGATATACTTAAACGATTTCTAAAATCGGATAAAAATTGTGACTCGTAGAGGGTCAACAAGCCAAACTCGCGATTTTTTCGTACAATCAGGGGCCATAATCCAGGAAGTTAGTCCATTATGCGCTAATATCGAAAGGAACCGAGATCTTTCGGAAATAAACACATGTTTTAAGTTTCATCAAAATTTGATAAAAAATTGTAACATGGTCCACAACCTTGATATTACATACTTGTCCATTTTGTCCCGTCAGTTTCGGTCCAATTTTCACGAAATCGAACTCGGCCTCCATAATGGTGTAACGGTGATATATTTAAACGTTTTTGTTTTTTAAATCCGATAAAAATTGTGACCTCTAGAGGGGCCACACGCTAAAATCGCGATTTTCCGCTCAATTAGGGGGTCATAATCCAGAAAGTTACAGTCCGATATGTGCGAATATCGAATATCATTGGGTAATAAACATATATTTCAAGTTTCATCAAAATCGGATAAAAATTGCGACCTCTAGATAAAAACGTGATTTTTCGTACAATCAGGGGCCATAATCCACGAAGTTACGATCCGATACATGCCAATATCGAAAGGAATCGAGATCTTTTGGAGATAAACACATATTTCAAGTTTTGTCAAAATCGGGAAAAAAATTGTGACCTGTAGAGTGTTCACAAACGAATCGTGGACGGACGGACGGATTCAACAAAGTTCTCTATAACTTTCATCAAACTGAACGATCATTTAGGTGCATAGAACTTATTGACCTAAGCTGCTGTTGATAATATATTATATTGACTTTCGGAGAGGAGGAGAGACGCAGACGAGAGAAAAGCAGAGACCGGCGAATGGACTCGCCCTAGTTCAGCCACGGCATTGGCAGATGGGCGGATTGATGGATTTAATATTGTTATATGTGTTCCTGCCGTAGTCTAGTTCCTGTATTGTTTTGTATATGTAGATGTGTTATATTATGTTCCTATGTAAATAAACCCTATATTTACTAAACTGATCTCTGTTATCACTATATAAGATAGTGTTACACGGATGCACAGGGGCGACGACAATATACGTCCACATTCGTGGGCGTATAAAAATACCGAGCTATGAACTTATTAGTAGAGAGAGAGGTAGATAAATGGGGTTTAACATCCACTCGACACAAACTATGTCATTTCGGGACTATCATACGGTTCAATTTTATTTAAATAATTCGGTTGGACAGGCGACCCTACTCCTTGTCACGTGCAACCGGGGAATTGAAACTACGCCAGTTGACTCAATGAAAGATGATACAACGCCTATATGCGCTAACCATTCGCAATTTCTTAGTGCCGTTGAAAATTTCGCGGCATATTTAGGAGGATAAGGTGGCACACCTAGGTCTGTGTGCCGCGGCACACTGGTTGCGAATCACCGCTCTAGATAACACTAGCTGACAGATGATGTCAATCCATCTGTGACCCTGAATATGTAAAACAGACTGTGATGGCTAATCTCTTCCCTAACCCTGAGGGATACAATCCACGCATTCCGGAAGCGAATAGCTTCTTTCTTCCAGTGACTCATTGTGGCCAAGAAAATAGACTGGATAATATTTCAAATTGGGCATGGTGCATGCCGAAGCGGTATACCGAAGTTGACTGATGATGAAGATGGGTTTGTTATCTTTCAACTTTATAACTTAATCCAGAAAATGAAATCTTGTGCAGATTTTCAACACAAGCCAAATAAATTAAATCTGACAAATATATTCGGAAATACTTTCATTACTTTTGCATTTATTTAGAATCAAATCAAACACGTTTGACACTCATCCATACTAACAGTAACAGTCACACTGAGTGACTGAATGAAAGCCTGGACAGTCTCTGCTCTAGATTCTGTAAACTCATATTTATAATGTAAATAATATTAAAAAAGACTAGATGCCAGTTTTTCAACCACTCAGTACCTGCCTTCTATAATATTGCAAGGCCAAGGCTCAAGCCAAGGGAATATAAGTTTAAATGATTCATGGTTAATATTAGGTGGACAAATTCTAATAAAGGTTGGTCTCTTTTGAGGTGTGTGGGGGGGGGGGGGTAATTTTGACTTACAAGTACACCAAGGATGCCAAAAGTTTTTATTTTATCTTTTACTTGATCTAATATACATGTAGAAGGTCTGCATTATTGTTTCAATCACCATTGTCAGAGTTTGTTATGCGGCGCGTCGAATTACCCAATAACACCCAATAACTGCCCAATAACACCCAATAACTCCAAAATAACACCCAATAACTCCAAAATAACAACCAATAACTACAAAATGTTGACTTTAGAAACACAAAATAACAATTTAGTTGATTTTATGAAGCATTGCTGCTTTGTGTCCAAATCGCGGAGTTTCACGCTCACTCGCCTGAAGGGAGATAACTCGTATATGTGATTTTTGCTGACAAGAAATTAATAACACCCAATAACTGCCCAATAACACCCAATAACTGCCCAACACCAAATTGTTGACTTTGGAAATACAAAATAACAATTTAGTTGAATTTAAAAGCCTCGCAACGTTGAGCCCAAATCAGAGTTTTACGCTCACTCGCCTGAAGGGAGATAACTCGTGTATGTGATTTTTGTTTACAAGAAATTAATGTATGCTTTCGTTGCAATTCGTTTTGATTATACATGGGCGAAAAAAATATGGAATAACTATTTCAACCCCTCCATGGGTATCATCAGGCGGTTGCGATAACAAAACGTTATTACAGATGTCCTCGCTATAGCTTTTCATGAAATTCAAATTAACTTCCAATAATTTAGCGCAAAAATGCGCTACCTGACGACATAACGATTAGTCTGTAAAGAAATTCTAATTAACTGCCAAACATTCTACGCACAAAGGCGCTACCTGACGAGATAACGAGATACTTGGCTGTTAATTTTAATTCCTTTACAAACCAATATTTTTTTAAAACATACACATATTCAAAAATGTTTCATATGAAAATATTATAAAGATAATAAAATAATTAGTCTGTAAAGAAATTCTAATTAACTGCCAAACATTCTACGCACAAAGGTGCTACCTGACGAGGTAACGAGATACTTGGCGTTTAATTTTAATTCCTTTACAAAACAATGTTTTATAAAAAAAACTACACATATTTAAAAATGTTTCATATGAAAATATTATAAAGATAATAAAATAATTGTGTGTGTGGGGTGGTGGGTGTCTTTACCAGTGTGATGACCCAGGTATAACCGGGGAATCACATACACACAAGTTATCTCCCTTCAGGTGAGTGAGCGTGAAACTCCGATTTGAATATCAAAACCAGCATAGTTGGATCTGCAAGACCTACATATGTAGTCTTCACTTGAACATTGAAAAAAATTCAACTGAGTAGTATCTACTTTCTCACAATTTGAATGGCACCAACGTTGACATACTTCACAATATAAGCTTTGAATATCGCGAGTTTCTTTCAAACATGATCCGCGAGGTTTTTAAATTCAACTAAATTGTTATTTTGTATTTCCAAAGTCAACAATTTGGAGTTATTGGGTGTTATTGAGCAGTTATTGGGTGTTATTAATTTCTTGTCAACAAAAATCACATATACGAGTTATCTCCCTTCAGGCGAGTGAGCGTGAAACTCTGATTTGGACACAAAGCAGCGATGCTTCTTAAATTCAATTTAATTGTTATTTTGTGTTTCCAAAGTCAACATTTTGTAGTTATTGGTTGTTATTTTGGAGTTATTGGGTGTTATTGGGCAGTTATTGGGTGTTATTGGGTAATTCGACGCGCCCTCTGAATGTAAGATTACATGACATTTCAGTCCCGTGACATTTCTATTCTAACTCAAAAATATATGTCCTCAGCGATTCAGACTCAGAAAGGTGACATTTTGCACTCGGGTAGGTGTTTTTTGGGATTTCGGACTCATTCAAATCGGTTTATATTATAATAGGCCAAAAACGATTTTATAAAAATAACATGCCGGTAAAATTTACCATTTGTCATCAAGTACAAGCACATGGATCACGCACTCTATAAACTTCTAAAGGAACAGCAATGTTTACGAAAAGAATTTTTTGTATAATAATATGTTTCTTTGTATCTATATGGTACTATTTATTCAATATATAAAAAACGTAGCCAATGAATTTATTTGAAATAGGCTTATTCAAAACACGATAGAAAATATTAACATGAACCACATGGTTTTTAAAGGGCTCTACAAAACAATAAAATAATAGTTGCACTTCTATCATAATTATTGTTTCCAGTAAAGGTAATATATTTTTTTAAAAAAAGGAATAATCTGCTGATTTATTTATTTGAAAATGACCTACTCAAACACAGAAGAAATTTTTTACACAACATGCAGTTTTTACAAGTCCCTAAAATTTTTTAGTGATAATCCATAAGCTGCACTTTGACATAAATTCCTTGACAAGCTTGCAATAGAAGGCAGTACCAATCGATAAATTATTGCGTACAAAGAAAAGTCTTTTTGGAAAATATTAGAAATGGCAAGGATCAAAGTGGGCTAATAAAAGCTGTGTAACTGATAATCCCGGTGTTATTGTAGTATGTGCAAAGAAATCTGACGGTTCTTTGGTGGATGAGGAAACGTTCTGAATAATCGATAATCATGGCCATGTGTTGATTACAATTATTTCGTTTCTCGTAGGCTTTCACAATTGCAGAAGTCGGTACATTCCCTTGTTTTTATTCATTCTATACTTAATTAAAACCTGGTAATGCACAGACTTTTTCTGGTTTTCTCTTATCTAGTGACAGTCAATTATTTTTTTGAATTGTCAGATATACTCCCACAGTCCCATATAACAACTTTTGGTCTTCGAAGGAATTATTAGTGGCAGAATTTTCCCTGTTCATCTGTTATCACTCATCAGTCGTCACTGCAGTCAGTTATATAGAAGAATAACTTGTGTTTTCCCCTTTGCATTCATCACTTCCCTTTCTTGAAATCTTCATAATGCATCTATTGTAGCAATGATCCCTGTGTTAAAATTATATTTGGAACATGTTTAACCAGTTGTATCACATGTGATAATGACTGACACTAAATTTTTTTGTTTAGTCTTGGATGTTAAAACACTTTAAGTTTGTGTTTATTCATGTGTTTGGTTATTTAATAAGAGAGAGAGAGAAATAGGGTTTAACGTCCACTCGACACAAGCTAGGTCATTTTGGAACTAACATATGGTTTAATTTTATTTCAATAATTCGTTTGCGCATAGGGGTCTTTAGTAGTGGGAGGAAACCGGAGGACCCGGAGAAATCCCAAGGGGTTGGACAGGCGACCCTACTCCTTGTCACGTACAACCGGGGATTTGAAACCACGCCAGTTGAGTCAATGACAGGCTTTATGATACAGCGTGCGCACGCTAACCATTCAGCCATCCAACCCCCCCCCCCCCCGTTATTTAATAAAGACCACACAATCACAGTACTGGGTATGTGATGAAACATGTACATGTAAATAATTAATGATTTCAATTTCTCATTATATTGTGACTATAATTGTAGTAACATTGTAGCTGCAGGCTATGGCAACATTATTGATTACTTGCTGTGAATAATTTGACTGAATAATGTTGTATACATACATACATGTAATCAATAATTATTCTCATAAAATGGTTAATGTCACAAGTTGTGAGGTTCATTAATTTATAATGTGTATCCCACGTAAGGAACTTTGACTGAGGTAAATGAATTACAGGTATTGTTGTATTTTGTAGCTTGTAGTTAAAACTAAACTATATTCTATAAGAATTAAGAAAAAGGTGAAAACCTTCCTCACTCCAAATTGTAGACAAGTCTTTATTCTTTTTAATAAAACATAACTCCTCACAATATAAACTTACAATACATGTCACTTATATTTTATCTCTTTCTTTTGTAGATTAGAAGTATGGTACAAGCAGTAGGCCTCAGCATCCAAGAACATGGCTAGTAGTAAAGATCAACATCATGACAAACCAAATCATTCCAGTTGGGATAATAGTTTACCCGTCCCTAAATTACGTTTCCATCAGGCAGCATTCATCGTTTTTATATTAGCCATTTTGTGTTTTTACAACAGTTATGATGGAGATTTTGTGTTTGATGACAGTGAGGCCATTATTAACAACAATGATTTATTACCCACAACTGCTATCACTGACATATTTGCCAACGATTTCTGGGGCCAAAAGTTGGCTTCCAAGACAAGCCATAAATCCTATAGACCATTGACTGTCTTGAGTTTTCGGTAAGTTAGTACATGTATACCTAAGCCATAAACTGTGTGTCATTTCGATTCTCGCACTACTCCTGTCTATCAATTGTGCTTCAACCCTCTCAGTACATTTTGCTTTATATTTTTGAAATGGGTGTAGGACTAAGTTCAGGAAGGTTATCCTGAAGTATATGACTGTATGAAGTTGGTAATGCAAATGATATGCTTACTTTAACATACATTATGCAAGAGCTTAATCAGCCTATTGGAGGTCTTTCGTTAGGCCTGAAATGTTATCTAAATTATTAATTAGACATTACTTAACTTATCCAGACCTGCGATATTTACTGGATTAGAACACGATCTGCTGCTCAATGCTCATTCATGATTAAATCAAAAAATGGATAATTAAGACTATGTTTTTATAGTAGCAACTTTAGTAATGATGATCGAGACTAGGCCCAAAATTCAATCTCTAAATTCTCAGTTCAGAGTGGATCAGTTTGACTGTAATTTGCAGCAAATTACCTTTACATTATCTAGTTTTTAACTATTATAGTGAGAGCTGTCAGCTCTTTGATTAATCTCTCATAATGTATCTTTAAGCTAGAGTAAACAATTTAATTGTTGTGGTCAATATGTTTTTATTTATTTTCAGGTTGAATTATTATTTAGCTGGTGGATTACATCCTGTAGGTTTTCATCTTATAAATGTTATACTTCATGCTGTTGTGTCAGTGCTATTTTTACAAGTGTGTTCTGTTCTTTTTACTGGTTATTTGTCTTTGAAAAAGACAGAATATTTTAACTCACCAAGAGCATCATTTTTATGTGCTGTTTTATTTGCTGTTCACCCAATTCATACTGAAAGTGTAAGTAGAGTTGTAGATGTTTGGTAATGTACATGTACTACTCAAGTTCAATACCATTTATATGTATTTCAGAATGATTTCCCAAAAAAACTTAAAACTTAATCTGTTTGAATTATGGTAGTAAATTATTTATCTGGGTAGATCCCTATGTGCAAGTGAATTATTGAAATACAAATGTATCATATGTTAGTCCCGACTCCCGAAATGCGTCGTTGATTGTACATGCAACCCCATTTCTCTCTATAGTGATTACCAACTGTCAGGATCTGTTACGTGCTGACAATGCAGGACCTTAATTAGTATTTCGTCCCAACGACTAGATACTTTTTATTTGCCAGGATCTCTGTTTTGCGCCACTGACATGGAGAAATCGCACTGGAAAATTGTGAGAATCTTTCTCTGCCAAAACTGAGATTATAACAGAGATTCTCCTGGTTATTAAGCCTGTGTCAACGAGTCACTGTGGCTCTTATACCATTACAAGGTGTTATATTTAATGTTTAACTCCCATAAAAAAGGATATTCTAATTTTGACTCATGTGTTACTTTATCAGTTGAGTTTATCCACAAGTAATTTTTAAAACAATATATATTATATACATTACAGGTGGCTGGAGTGGTAGGACGTGCTGATTTATTATGTGCCTTACTATTTTTACTTTCATTTTTATCCTATGCCAAATCATGTATCAACGGTAAGTACATTGTATGTTTGATGACATTAATCTAGAAAAAAGGACAAGAGCTTGTAAGAAGAACAACAAACATGAATAAGAAGCAAACTTTTAGTATATTTTCATAAATAACTTAACATTAAATTGCTATGGCCTAATGGTAAACTCAGTAGAGTACTTTTTTTACCCCATGAAAAGAAAAATCAATGAATCTAAATGAAAACAACTGATATTACCCTGGGGCATGACCTTTAGTATGATACAAGCTTATAAATATTTAATGAATTGTCTTTGGTTTATTTTTTTAGTGATAAAAATACATTTTCTGTGTCATGAGTATTTTAGCCTGGTGATTTATTTTAATTATTAAAGCAAGATTCTAAGTAGATCATTGTTTGGGTCATCTCATTTTACAATAAAAGTATTTATATTGATGAGCTTGTCTGCAAAAAATAAAAAAAAAATAAAACAGCATTCTAAGAATGGCTTTTTTAAAGTCTGGTTGTATACTATTCCTATATGTGAAATATTAATTTAAAAAAACCTCAATAATCCCCAAATAGATACTGTAGCTTTCTCCTATGTTATTCTATAATTTTATTCTTTTGTTGCTGTACTGAATTTTGTTTTCTTCATTTATATCATTGGAACGATATTGCATTCCTTCAAGTATTTCTTGTTGAAATAGAATTTTAAAGTTTTATATCGATATAAATTATTAGTTACATATTTAGTGGATTTTATTCATTCATTGAATGAATAACTTGCTCTAGATGACCTGGCGCCTGGTGCGTTCGGGCATTTTTATGCGCGAACTCTTAGGTTTTTTTTACTGGCATGCGCACAGGTACTATTTCTTTTTCTTTTAACAAGTACCCAAATCGGGGATTTCGTGCGGAGGTAGTTCGGAGGTAAACAGTCTGTGAAGTACAACACTTGCCACTGTACCTGTGTATCGCTAATTATAAACCGAATGTGTGAAGACAGTTCATACATATCACTCAAAAATTTTTCAGTACAAACTCAGTTGATTCACGCTCGATTTGCTACTAAACAAACCCATCGGTTTATTTTCTCAACAGTGTGACCCGAAGTGACCGCGGATTTATTGACCTTGTATGAACTTATCCATAGCTATATCCTTACACCGAGAGAAATTATCTAGTCTCGGTGAAAAGAACCATGGTCATCTGGTAGAAAATTACTTTTGTATTTTTTGGAACGGAAAACAGTGTTTTTAGAAGCAAACTAACCTGCCGCACATGAGGAAGTCATTATACTAATAATAAAAGGCGAGACCTCTTTTTGCGGCGCAGGCTTATCACTGAGTAGTAAACCGTCCACAAACAATAATATAGGAAGCCTAGTGACGAGTGTAGTAAGTAGGCTATAGACTATAGGTTTGAGTCGAGATTACTCGCTTTTAGTTTACTCTGTTTTTGCGATAACCAATTATGTGAGAAATACCATACTGACATTCGGTTTTTAAAAGTTGTACGCGAACTAAATGCGTTTGTTAGATACTGACAGAGCAGCCCTGAGTCGAACAATCGCCGCCCGAGCTGTCTTCGTCAGCTAGTTTCACAATATCATGCAATAGGTGTATTAATGTGATTTTTAGGTTTAACCCCTCAAACAATGCCAAAATAGTGTTTTCACTGCTTACAGAAAACTGAAATTTAAAAAAAAAAAAATTTTATGAGGGTGACCCTCCCACACACTCCCTATCGAGCTGCCGCTCGGTCTGCGCAGCCTCATGCCTGGCACATACTGTCAACATTGTATATTTTTCCGTTTCCGCCCTTCCCCCCCACAATATATATTTCACGGCTACGTTGCGACGGTACCAGCATACCCAGTTGTTGACACCCATTACATCACTCCTGTCTAACAAATCATAAAGCTGTGGTGTTACGGTGGCGGCATAGTATTTCACCGTAACACCACAGCCACTCTAACCATTCATAATACATCTAACTATCCCTTAACAGCACTTCACTCCCTACACATTTCCCCTCGTCCTACTTTCCCAAACGTCAACAACACATCTCATACATCCAGTTCGCTGATTAACCCTTGTACCACGTCTACTGGATAATTGTAGTGGGCTTGAATAGGAATAGTATAATCCCTTAATCCTTTTGACAAACTTGTAAATAAAATATTATTGCATATATGTTCAAGAAAAGAAAAAAGTCTGAACAACTGGGGTATAGTTATTATTGAAGTTATTATGAATAACTACGCCTCCAAGATCAGGCTTACACTGTAATCATAATTTTGATTTAAAAAAATGTCTATTTATTCAGCATTGAATTCAAGTGCAATATTAAAGAGACACGTCCAATTAGAAAAGATTATCATTTTAGAATAAAAAATTTCTTCATATTTACTGGTATATACTGATGCCTTTTCCTTGCATATAAGGAATTAACAGTTTGTTGCCATCATTTCGATTAGATTTTGATTCAACGGTTATAACTGGCTCCAGATTTGTGATTATTATTTGGTTCATGACAGAGGGCTTCAGAGCAGTTTGTTATGGTTTAATAGACCTTTGTTCCAGTAATATATTTTTAAAGATACTTTCCCAGAAAAGTATTTATTGGGTGGTTATTTCCATTAAAAGTATGGCAATTTTGGTATATATGGAAAGTCGAAACATCCAATCTTACTAGAAAAATACTGAGGCATATATTGATAAACTTAATGAAGAACTTAAATGTACAACAGTTTCTGAGATAAAAACGACAAAAGAAAGACGTGGGCAGTGGATAATGAGAATATAAGTAGGCTTCGATATTTCTAGTAAATGGACAGTGATTAAAGTCAACATCGTCTTGTATATGCAATGAATTCTCTTCTGGCTTCACACTCGTTGCTAGGTAGCGCGTCGACCAAGTCACGTGACAAAAACATGACCTCTTTTAATAGACTTTTTATAGCAAGGGTATTCCCTTGCAAAAGCAATGTTTTGAGAAGGATTTGAAACAAAATTTTGATCGATTAATTAGTTTGAATATGTTTTTAGTCCAAATATATCAAATCACCCAGTTTGTACGCAGGAATGTATCTTTAAAATGAATGTATTTATATTACAGAATATAGTGAAACTAGTTACCGTGGTGATTGTATAAGAATTGGTTGGTTATTATGTTGTTTGTTTTTGTGTACTTTATCTACATTCTGTAAAGAACAAGGTATCACTGTTATTGTAAGTATTGATTGTTTATTAAACTGAAAGTAGTACTCGCCACACTTAGACTAATGAAACTATTGTAGAGATAATATAAATTAACGAAAATGGTGTATGACATGCCCCTAAAATGTTTAAAATATTATTACCACCTGTCAATGGTATTCTTGGGATGTTGGTTTTCAGTCCCATTCGAAGACTACGCTTTTTGTTACCAGGCACCCTTAAGCAAGTGCCATAAACACAGAACCATTTTGTAGGTGGCTGCCTTGAAAGAAATGTTCAACCTTGAAGTAACTGATCTGGACTTTGATATTCTTTTTATTTACCAATATTTTAGATACAAATATATCTATCTTTTTACAGGGATTGTGTAGTGCTTTTGATATTATTATGGTTTGTCGAATTGATCTCCTTGCCCTTTTTGGTTTACGCAAATCAACCAACTTAGTTTCCAATGGCAACAATAATAATGTTCCAAAGCAGGTAATGTTGAGTTGCAACATGCAAATAGCAAACTATATGAAAACCAGTACATATATATGTAATACATCTCTTAATATAGTGTTTTATGACTGAAATTTTGCCCGAACAGTGGCACTACGGCCTACTCATATATCAAATTGTACCTGCCAAAGGATATTTAAGGTGCACGTCATGTGTACATGGGACCTTGTTTTTATTTTGTCCCATCCAAATGATTAGACAGCTGTCCTTTTCAGGCCCTCCAGCTTGCTCCACCTTACAAGGGGAAACCATGCTGGAAAATCCTGATTAACTTTCTTGGCTAACACTGGGAGCGAACCCGCAACCTCCAGGCAAGCGAGCCAGCATCTTACTCTCTTAGCCACCGTGGCTCACTAATGCTAATCAAGATCTGACATTACAATTTATAAAATATACATGCCAGGAAATGGGTTTATGGATTCAAATTTAAAGCATGAAATAATTTATGTTAAAAGATATTGAAATTACTTTAATGTACCAGGAATCAGTTTAAAAATTGTACGTAAAGTATTTCCACTTGGGTTCAGTGGAGTTGTTTCATTCTCCCATATGCAAAAGAGTTATAGTAACATCCGATTTACATATTTGTGAGTCTTTGTAATATGAGACTTAGTATTGAACTGATATGAATAGGAAATATTAAAAGTAGTAATATTCTCTGTTATTTAGTACAAGCTGCATCCAGCTGAAAATGTTTGAAGATCTAAAATTACTATGTTTTATTTTCAGGATACATTTCCACAGTGGCTTAAATGTCTCATCTATCGCCAAATTTCATTAGCTGTGACTGCTGTATTTTTATTGGTTGTTAGATGGAGGGTCATGGGGTCAGCTCCTCCTACATTCCAGGTTCATGATAATCCACATTCATTTGTGGAAGGACCACTCTATCGGGTAATTTTTTCTTTTGTAATTAAGGAACATAGAATATTTGATTGTTTTCATTGACTGTATGGTACGTAATTTGTATTGAATTTTTGATCTTCAAAGCTACTGATTGTCGTGTGTATTTTTCGAACAACGGTTATCCTGCTTAATGCCTTAAATTGATCATCACAAAGTATAAACTATTTTGTAGTTGAACTTTCCAAACATGTTGATTAGTTAATACCATTTTATCACACCAAATAATAATAATAATAATAATTGTCTTATATAGCACTACATTATGTCCAATGCTCATTTCTAAGCGCTGTTCAGCCACATTGTATATTATGTGGGAAGTATCTCTAGTATGGTAAGCCAAAGAGGAATTAATTGCAAGACCGTTTTTCTGTATGGAAAGAGAAAAAATCAAGTATATAACAATTTTTTCATCACCTTCCAAGCATTTTTTTTTTTTATCCCTTCCGCGTTTTGCTGCTGAGGCTGGCACACAATGGGACACATTCGACTTGAACAGGGCAGAGGACAAAGTTGATGACGTCATCGGTTTTTGTGGTCACATGCTCTTGAAGGGTCACATGCATGGGTTCCACGCCGGCCGTATATGCCGGTTGAGACCTACGGCTATGGAAAATGACCGTTCCTAGATCTGACCTAACGGTCATTTTGCACGCCGGAAAAAGGGTCTTTCTAAAAAAAAAAGCAATTTCAAACATGGCTACGATCGACCTTCACTGTGTAACTATACAAGAATGCACGTCGTCTAGAAGCCAATCTCGTGATTGGTGTTATAGAGTTGTATATATAGTCGTCAACAGATTATACTGAGTGTTGTGTTGATAATTAATGATGAGTGTCTGGTAGTAGAACAATAAATGTTAATTGATAAGTGGGAATCTAATCAACGGCATGAAGCGGCCCATTGTTAATCATTCACGTATTGTCCACGTGTCATAAGAATTTTCAACAACAAAGCCGTTTACCGCTATTACGGTCAGGCACAATGTAAACAAGGTTATTATGATCTTCGAAAAAGGGCAACTGATATGAAGTATTGCTCTTCGAATCCAACCAACTGTCATATAAAATAAAAAAAAGCATAAAAATTACGTAACTTGTCGTAAGTCCTCAACAACGTACGTGTTGGGAGAAAAATGCATTTTAAAATGTTTATAGCGGTATTACGGCCTTGTGGAAATTGTTGAAATAAAATCTAGAGATTAGTTAACTTGCTTACCGAACAATTAAGAAAAATACGTATTCCAGTTCTATTGTGCAGCAATATTGATAATTCCATGTGTAGAAGAAATGTTGTGTATATACGATTACTCTTATACACGACCTTATTCTAGGGGGCGCTAGTGTCGCTAGCCGTGAAGTTAGTTATCCGATAGTCATTTAGTTATACATGTACATTATTAGGATTTACGTCACAATTCTGCGGCCCGTAATTCCGGAAGAGATGGTCTAAAACCAAAAAAAATGTGAGATATATGCCATGGATTATTATATATTTATCTTCATTTCAAAGTTATTGTATTACAACTCAAAATTATCCAGGTCAGTGTGTTTTCTATAGAGCACGTGTTAATTACGTGTGAGCTACTGAAATGGTTTTTCTCCGGCCAATTCAACTATTTCGTTATTTAAGTAGCCAAAACGGAATATTTAATTATTAAATAATTATCATGAGCCTTACTAATATTTCATTTTTAAGTCAAATATATTTTTTTTTTTTGTGCACCCCATGGTGACAAAGTGGTATAGACACGTGAATTCACAATACCCTACCATGAATAAAAAACATGAAATATGAATTTACTTTGAAAAGTTTTCGTGCGTTATCAAAAATGACCGGCAGTGGAAATTTTGAATTGGAAGCCCTGGTCACATGTTCTTGAAGGGTCACGTGCTCGTGATTTAGGTTTTTTTTTTCGTCTTGACACGTGAATTTTTCCGTCTTGACATGTGAATTTTTTAGTGTTGACATATGAATTTTTTCATCTTGACATGTGTATTTTTTTTGTCTTGACATGTGAAAAATAATTTTGTTGAATTGTTTATAAAAACCGAATATAGTGGTAAAATATTTCCGTGAACATTATAAATTGACTTGACTATAAAAAAATACAAGAGCAACAATGGAAAAAAAAAAATCTTTATTGAATCTTTATACATCCTTTTGTACAGAAAAAAATGCTTGGAAGGTGATGAAAAAATTGTTATATACTCGATTTTTTCTCTTTCCATGCAGAAAAACGGTCTTGCAATTAATTCCGCTTTGGCTTGCCATACTCTAGAGTATATTTATAATCACACCACTAGTACACCTTATTAAATAGATAAGTTTTTAAAACAGCTTCATCTGGGCTAATGAAGACAGGCAAATGCCATACAGTGTGCTATGAGGAAATTTTGTCAAGACAGTGGCGCTACAGTCTAGTTTTATTTCGATTTCCAACCGTCGAAGGTTCTTATACATGACGCTGAATGAGTACACAGGACCTTGTTTTTTTGTCCAATACGAACAACTAGAGCAAGGTTAGATTTCTGATGAATATCAATAAACATGGTTAAACTATTTTCAGGCTTTGAATTATAATTATTTATATGCTGTAAATGTTTGGTTACTACTTAATCCATCTTGGTTGTGCTTTGATTGGTCGATGGGATGCATTCCAGTTATTACATCGTTAAGTGATGTTCGTATATTATCAGCTTTATCATTCTTCGTTGTTTTACTGACAATGATATATTTATCATTGAGAAATAATACACAACACCAAAGGTAAATATATTATATTGCTGGTTATAAATAAGAGTACATTCAATATTATAATACTGGTTAAGTAAGAGTATATTTAATATATACTCTTAAAAAAGAGTAGGGAATAAATTGAAATGCAAATACCTATGCATGTTGTGATATGATAAATAGTCATGGACACTTGACATGCTTTGAGAGTATGTTCACAGATGAAGAACTTATTGCCCCAACAGAACCGCTGAGCTGCACATGTGACACGCAATAGCGCCATACACGTGGGAGGGGTACAATGTCAAATTTGACACTTCATGGAAGGGTTGATGAAAACTGCTGCGTGCTGGTTTATCTATCCATGTTAGCAGTGAAGGCTTATATTGCACCAAATGAAGTTTTAGGGATTGATATCGAAGTGGGGCCGGTCCCTGTTCTGTTTCCGGAACATATCTCGTATACCGTGATATCTTTATAAAACTTTGTACACACTTTAACCTTTTATAGTAGTTTTGCATTTTTTGCTAATTAGAAATGTCTCAGATTTAACGTTTTAAGTGTTTCCATGGAAATAATTTGACTTAGTTTCTGATATACAAGGGTGTATAATAATGTTATTATGGTTCTATTAAATTAATTTGTGTTCATGTTTTAATAATTTATTGTATTGTTTTTTTTTTGTTATTTGTTGCAGATTACTGATTCTCTGCCTCGTTTTTCTCATTGTTCCATTTTTACCGGGATCTAATTTGTTTTTTCGTGTTGGATTTGTTGTGGCTGAGAGAGTCTTGTATTTGTCATCTGCTGGCATGTGTATGTTATTCACAATGGGAGTCGTAAATATTTCTCAAAAAATAAAAAATAAAAAGGTAAATTTTTCCCCAGTATGCTTTTATGTTTTGCTTAAAATGCCCTTTACTCTCAAAAACTCTTCCTTAATATAGTGGGTTACTGCATTGTAACAAAGTTTTGAAATGCCAATTGTAAAGACTGGTGGAACTGAATAATCAATAAATTCATTTGTTAGATGTTTCTTTTAGCTCAAAATATCTGAAATAAATAACTAATTAACCAACATTTACAGCACATTTAACCCACTGCTGAACATTCTCCTTGGGCTGTGCCTCCATGCCGCCGCTCTCCCCAAACCACTTTTTAATATGTTTTTAAGTTAATTTAAACCTCCACACCCCTTTAACAAATCCTGCTTACGTCAAGAAGTATATTGTGCCTTACTAGCTTGATAAATTTTATTTCTTGACTTCATTTGTTATCTCCCTTGCATTGTATTAAGAGATATGTTGGATATATTTCAGATAATCACTGTGTGTTTGTTATTACTAGTGATATTATATACAGCTAGATCAATGCAGGTATGATAATAAGATTTTTAACTGTTTAACTGATACAAAAGTTGTAACAGTGTTTTTGTTCTGTCCGCTTTGTTATAGTACTTTTTTTTTTACAAAAGAAAAATGTGGGATGTAAATTTTAAGTCTTTGTTTTTTCACTTTTTTTTAAAAAAAAAGAAATTGAGAGATGGGACGAGTTGAATCTCTTATCAAAGAGTATCAGAGGATTACTCCATTTAAAGCAGCTGATTGTCATCTGTATTTTGGGAACCAAAGGCTCTGGCTCGCTAACCAGGAGGTATCAGGTTCTCTCCTGGTTTTGGCAGAGAAACTTCCTCTGGATTTTCTGTTGTGGTTCTCCCTTGTCAGTGGTGCAAGATGGAGGGCCCGGCAAGGACAGTGTCTAGTTGTTCGGATGAGATGAAAAGGCGAGGTCCTGTGTACACATTGACATGTATGTAAAAGAACATTGATATTTGGAATTCGAAATAAGAGTAGGCCGTAGCGCTGTTGTCCGAGCAAAGTGATAGGCCTCACTGACTTGGGCCTTGGAGTGGTGATGTAATTTTATGTATGATAATATACTTTAGAGAAGTGCTGAATGGAGAAATGAGATGGATTTATTTGAAGCTGGTGAAAAAGTATGTCCAAAGAATGCTAAGGTAAGTTTGTATTTCATATGGATCTCTACTATTCTCTACAGTTCTACAAGATAACTCCTGTTTGTGCTTGTATGAAATGTGCTGTGTTCTAATTGAATATAATATTGGGTTATAATGGTAATATTTTGTGGAACATTAGAATTTTACTTCCAGATTTAATATTTTATGATGTTTATGAAATACTATATATATATATATTTCTAGTAAATCTAATGTGTGTTATAATATTGTAAATTATAATTTTAGATATATAAATTTTCAATGCTGTTAAATTATATTTTTAGGCACATTACAATAAAGATAGTTATATTTTTAGGTACAATATTTTATTGGTAAATCATATTTTTAGGTACAATACAATATAATTAAATTATATTTTTAGGTACATTATAATATTGGTAAATTACATGCTGATAAAGGAAATGATACGTATGCTGTAGAACGATACAGTTTAGCTATCAAGTAAGTCATTTAATCAATATTAGGAATTTCATACAAATCACAGTTGCTTGAATTGATTTGGGTTGACAGCCTATATATTTGTATTTACTCAGATAATTAAAAGAATTAAACGATTGAATTCAAAAATTGAAAGCATGAAAGGAAATTTCTTGCTTTATGGAATTTGATAAAGAATTATATTTACACAAATTATTATAAATGTTTTATTAGGTTAAATCCAGAGTATGATCAAGCTATGAATAATTTGGCTAATATTTTAAAAGAACAAGGTCATACAGTGGAAGCAGAACAATTACTACTTAAAGCTGTAAAAATCAGGTAAATATATTTGATTAGAAACATTTCCTACGATTATACTAATTGTAATTATACCAGCACCTTATAACTCACTGAGGCTCCTGTGTTCAATCCCATGCTCGATCCCGGTGAGGACTGTAAATGTTCATCATGATTTTCCATTTGTGTGTTTTATTGTTGTTTGAGAGAGAGAGAGAAACGGGGTTTAATGTCCACTCGACACAAACTAGGTCATTTTTCGGGACTAACACATGGTTCAATTTTATTTCAATAATTCGCTTGCGCATAGGTGTCTTTAGCAGTGGGAGGAAACGGGAGAACCTGGAGATAACCCAAGAGGTTGGATAGGCAACCCTACTCCTTGTCACGTACAACCAGGGAATCGAAACCCCGCCAGTTGACTCAATGACAGACCATATGATACAGCGCGCGCGTGCTAACCATTCGGCCATCCAACCCCCCCCCCTTATTGTTGTTTGATTGTTGAAATCAATAACCAGAAGGTCCTGAATTTAATACTAGTGTTGGCTTTGAAAGTTCAAGATTTTTTAAACTTTTTCCCCCTTGTCAAAGGTGCAAGATGGGCCCCCATACAGAAATCAGAATTAAAGAGTAGGCTGTAGCACCTCTGTTAGGTCAAAATTACCATTGTGCAGTCAGTTCTTTCTTTTATTTTCTCTCTAATTTTTCAGCCAGAGATTTTGCAAACAAGATTGATATCTTGGAGTTTATATACAAATGATATTCTTATTTATTATTTTTTTTATTTTGTCTATTTAGACCCGAGTTTGCAGCAGCTTGGATGAATCTAGGAATTGTTCAAGCACAGTTAAACAAGAATGAGTCCTCTGAAAAAAGTTATCTTCAAGCATTAAAACATCGCAGAAAATATCCTGATTGTTTTTATAATCTAGGAAATTTGGTAAGTATTTTTATACGTTCACATTCATAATGTGGATGTATATTGTCGTCGCCCCTGTCTGTGTGTTACCTATAGGCCGCAATTCTTAACTGATCGTCTTGAAACTTTACATACTTATTCCTTATACCCTAAGGATGATCCCTATTTCTTATATTTGTTGGTTTGTTGTCTACAGGCCGGAATTGCTTAATGTATCATTCCTTATACCGTAAAGCCAGCAACTCTTTATTTTGGTGTATGTCCTGACCCCCTGGGGCGGTGTGCCATCCACTTTTTTGTTAATATTTAGGCTGTAAATTTGGCAAAAGCCACAAAACAAACCCACCACTTCACCACCACTCCCCCTCCCCAAAAAGATAAAAACAACAAAAACAAAAATTAAACCCTGAAACACACACAATACACATCTATCTTCCTATTACACATGTTTAATCCAGTGATGGGGACTTCAAAAAATTTCTTGTCAGACATATTTTCCCGAAAATAAAGGGGCATAACTTTTATGGTTATTTAAGCAGGTGTTTTCAGACCACAATTAAAAATCATGTGTCAATATTCAAATTAATACCTGGTTATTTTTCATATTTAATTCCCGTACTGTATTCAAATTTATGTCAGTAATATTCCTACAAAATTATGTGTTGTCGTAATACGATGGAATGAAAGTGTGCCGACCCGTATCTGTTTCAAATTCCACCAAAATTACTGTATTTTTCTGAGTATAAGTCGATATATTTTTGAGCGGAAGTCCGGCATTCATCTTATACTCCGTTTCAACTTACATACGGAAGTTTAAAAAAATTTATTTGGCAGTAATCATCGCTCTACCACAATGAGCGAATAACATTTGCTAATAAATCACAATTGACCCTAGCACGTGCTATCGTCTAAAACAATTAACTACTTACATTATTCCAATTGAAATTTTTGTCAACATTTCTTAGCATGTTTATTTATTTAAAAACATAAACCCCATTCAAAATATGATCATAAATCCAGAATATGCCATCAAAATAGAATCTTTAGACGTGTTAGATTTGGCACGTTTACAACTCTTACTTTCATGTGTCTAGTGAGATTTCTACTTTCACTTCAGTTATTGTACTTATAACCGCCACGTGCAATCAACAAACAGTCTAGTATTTATCAGATATGCATTGTGTGTGAAATAGCTTTATTTAACTTTGGCTTCCACCGAAGAAATATCACAGACAAGTTATCGGATACAATGTATACTGATTTTGGGTGTTATGTAGTATTAGGATATGTGACATATATGACTATTTCCTACGTGTTGTTGGCCGACATCAAGGAGATTGAAACACCTGACAATGGAGAAATCACGAGGTAAACACGTAGGTTAAAATTATAATCACTCTTACTCGATTGATGAATAGTCCGACAAATGGGAAGCGATGACTTCTGTTTAAGATTAGATCGATGAATTGTCCGACAAAGGATTAAGTCCGTCAATCAAGGCAGATTAAGTAGTTAATCAAGGTAGGTGTATAGACGGTATAACACGATAGATCCGTTGATCACTTAATTACCTAATCAATCCAGTGTATTATCAACGATAATCGGGTTGAGTGGTAGTTATACACTCAGTAAACTATATTAATTTTGGAATTTTGAATATTATTCACCATGTCTTGATGTCCGACGCTATTTTCCAAACGCCCAAAATTGTCCGATCGGGAATATACAGCCAAAATCCCATCCCTGATTTAATCCCTAGACTCGCCTTCGCCAAAAAAAAATTCCACCTCTTTTATTAACTGTGATACGTTGTCTTTTTTATCAAAATTCTTAACTTAGTTGTTTTTATATTTTCATTTTTGGTTCAGTAATTTTATATATTCTTTTTATTTTGCCTTTGACTATTTACATGTATTTTTATTCTTATGCATTGTATCTTCTTTAAGTTTGTAAAGAGCATCTGGGCACTGTATAGGTGAACGATGCGCTGTATAAATACACCATAATAATAATAATAAAATAATAATAAAACCCCAATGTATATATAAATCACAACACAACACATCCACCACCACCCCATTTATGTATATAATAGAATTTGGAGAATTTATATTCGATTGATAATTAAAAAGTATATTCATTTAAGAAGGTCAAAAACTAATATAAAAGAAAATTTATGTTCGGTTGATATTTTAATGGTATTCATTTTAAAGGCAAGGTTATCTAACAGTTTTTCTCTTATTTTTATTGAGGGGGGTTGGATGGCTGAATGGTTAGCACGTGCGCGCTGTACCATAAAGTCTGTCATTGAGTCAACTGGCGTGGTTTCGAATCCCCCGTTGTACGTGGCAAGGAGTAGGGTCGCCTGTCCAACCTCGTGGGTTTTCTCCAGGTCCTCTAGTTTCTTCCCACTGCTAAAGACCCCTACGCGCAAGCGAATTATTGAAATAAAATTAAACCATATGTTAGTCCCGAAATGACCTAGTTTGTGTCGAGTGGACGTTAAACCCCATTTCTCTCTCTCTCTCTCTCTCTTATTTTTATTGAGTAATGTAGATATTTTCCAAGATTGAGCAGTTTTTATTATTGTCTCCGTGATTCATCAGGTTTTTTAACTTTTAAAGTGATGGAAAGGACCAAAAATAATGCAAAAAATATTTTCTATGGAGATATATAAAAGCGGGACAGCACAGTAGACAGTGAAATTCATCTTCAACAGCTCTCATAATATTACAACATTTGCATAATTTTATTATATTGACCGATTTCAATATTTAGTTGAAGAATACCGCAATAAAAATGACAGATAATAGTTTTATATTTTACTTGAATATTTGATTGGAGGTAAGATTCTGGCTCATGAATATTTTTATATAATTTATAAAACTGTAGTTTACTTAACTCTTCTAGTGTGGCCAACCATTTCTGGTAAAATTGATCTTTTATACAAAGTTCTATTTGTGATAGTATTGATGTACAGCATTTTGTTGATACCAAATATAAGAAAACCCCCACATTATTTAAAAGTAATTTTATTTCAGCTGCCCAGTTTAGAGAACCACTTAACAAATCATTAGATATTAATGAATTCTTTTTACTCAAGAATTTGTGCCAATATCTTAGTATTCTTATTTGAAGGTTGATCAGAGCTGAAAACATTCCTAATTCGCCTAACATAGCCGCGACAGGGCAGTTTTTACCTATTTTTAAAATATGTCTCATAAAATCATTTGCAGTTTATCAATTGACTTGCCATTATGAAAACTCCAAACTTCACAGGCATAATTAAAAACAGACGAAAGCATGGTGTTAAATATTGACAATAAACATTTGGATTAAAATAAAAGGTTTTTATACGCCCACATTTTCATGTGGACGTATATTGTCGTTGTCCCTGACCGTCCGCATGGACGTCCATCCACAATTGTTTGTGAACACTCTACAATTCACAATTTTTATCAGATTTCAATGAAACTTGAAATGTAGGTCTACCATTGTACAAAAAAAACATTTTTTTTTTGCTTGTGGACCCTATAGAGGTCACAATTTTTATCTGATTTAAAAAAAACGTTTGAATATATCACCATTACACCCTAAAAATGGTTGAGTTCTATTTCGTACCGAAACTGACGGACAAAATGGCCGCCCCTCATTTGCAAATAGTGGCAAAATATTGTGTATCAGGGTTGTGGACCCTGTGGAGGTCAAAATTTTCATCTGATTTTGATGAAACATGAATTGCATGATTATAACCCAAATATCTTGGTTCCTTTCTATTTTTGTACATTTTGAATCGTGATTTCCTGAATTATGGCCCCTGATTGTAGGCAAAATCGCGTTTTCAGCTTGTTCCTCTAGAGGTCACAATTATTATTCGATAAATATATCACCGTTACACCATAATTTTGTCTGAGTTTGAATTTCATGAAAATCGGACCAAAACTGCCAGACAAAATGGCCGCCCCCTTGTTCGCAAATAGTGCAAACATCTGATATATCAAAGTTGTAAACCCTTTAGAGGCCACAATTTTGATTGGATTTTGATGAAACTTGAAATGCAATTATCACATATTATAAGACCCAGATATATGTATTTTTTACAATTTCAAGTTGAGTTTCATATATAAACATTTTGAAGTTTATTTCTAAATTCCAAATTTGACAAAAATCGATAAATTTATTAAAAAGTATTTGGAAAGCTTCCGGTTTTGTTGCAAGGAGGAAAGTATCGTCAGCAAAGACTAATGAATATAATGATATTTTTTAGGTGTATAAAATTTGTATTTTCACTGAATAAAAACTCTTTTAGATTGTTAATAAATATTAAAAATAAAAGCGGAGACAGTGATTCGCCTTGTTAAATTCCTGAAAAACTTGAAAATGTTAAAGATAATGTACCTTTAGACTTGACAAAACTACTCCATCTACTGTACATTGATTTGATTATAGTCACCATTTTAGAACTTGAACTTGAATTAAGTTTATACAACAACTGATTTCTATTCACTGTATCAAAAGCTTTACGCAGATCTATAAAAGCGCAATATAGTTTTTGACGGTTATCTAGTGAGTGACTGGTTAACCCATTAATAAAAAGGGCATCTTATCTTTTCTAAATCCAAACTGAGTTTCATCTAATATAGTATTGCTTTCACACTAAGTATACAATTTAGAATTATAGAAAAGATTTTTGAAAAAGTTGATATCATCGAAATTCCCCTATAGTTATCCGGTATATTGAAATCACCTGTTTTGGGTACAGGAACTAATAAGCTATATCTTGCCAGCATTCCGGATAACAACCACTGTCCTAAATAGAGTTAAAAATTGTAGCCATAAGACGCAATAAAAGATCAATATTTTATCAATACCGCTACTTTAATTTCTTTTGAGTTTTTTTTTAAAGACAGGTTCCAAAAAAGTATTTATCAGGTGGTTATTTCCAATAAAAGTATGGCAATTTTGGTGTATATGGAAAGTAGATGTACATGTTCATAAACTTTATGAAGAGTTAGACGTACAACAGTTTCCGAGTTAAAAACCACGGAAAAAAACTTGGGCAGTGGATAATCCGAGAATTTAATTAGGCTTCGATATTTGTAATAAATAGTTAGCGATTAAAGACAACATCGTCTTGTGTATGCAATGAATTCTTCTCCAATTTTGCCCTACTGAAAGAGGTAAGTCACGTGACACAAACATGACCTCTTTTGCTATATTTTGAGAAGGATTTGAAGCAAAATTATGATAAATTGATTAGTTTGAATATGTTTTTAGTCCAAATATATCATCAAATCACCCAGTTTGTATGCGGGAATGTATCTTTAACTGCAAGGAGTATTTCGTCATTTGATATAGGTTTGTCTAGTTTATTACATTTCCTATTGTTGATTAAAGTTAAATCAGGATGAGGGTTAGTTTCAGAACGTTTTCCATACACGCTTTTGAAATGCTGTAAAAATTCACATGTCAGATTTGACGCTTTGAAATTTTGATTATTCTTTATAGCATCCCAGAATCCTTTGGGGTTAGATTTAGAGAGGGCACACAGATTAGATTTTCTTTTAATTTGATTGAACGCACTTTGATGCAAATAAAATATTTTTTGTTAAACTCATTTCGATTTTTTAGATAAGTATTTCTACTTTTTGTAAATTTTTTCCAGGCTAATTTGCAATCAATGTCAAACCATTTATTATCTTTAAGATTCCTATTTCTAGCTAGGATGGCAATATGGTTGGTTTTGTTTTTTCCAAATAAAGAAACAGTTATATCGCGAAAAACATCAGTGATTTCACTGACAAGAAAATGGATATTACTATTTGAGCTATTAGACACAGTGTTATTTAAAGAATTATACTTGCTAATAACAACCTTGCAAAATTCATTAATCCTAGATGAATCCCACTGAACAACCTGTTCAAATGTCTTGTGTTCTCTGGCATCTTTAGTCTAAATTTTAAAGGCGAATGGTCCGAAAATTCTGTTGCAGCTGAAACTTCAAAGTTATGTATCAGATTTTGGAACTAAAAGGTAATCTATAGCACTAGTTCCTCTTGGTGAACAAAACTTAAATTTACCTAAATTTTTATCTTCGCCTGGCCGACCATTAGCGATTAGACAGTTAGTTGATTTGCATAGATCAATTAATTTGTTCCCAAACAAGTTTAAAACTTTATCCTGAGATTTTCGAGGAATATTATCTTTATTATTACAATCATGGACTGGTGTACCAATGTATCTATCTAAATTATCATTGCCTATTTGGTCTGGTTCAACCCATGTTCTGTCGTTGAAATCCCCACACATCAAATGTTTTACTTATAATAGAATATTTAACGTAATTCTGTTCTATTTCAATAAATACATCAAAATTACGTAACGACACATAAACCCCACGGCTCAGTATGAACTACAGACACATATTTGTTTAGAATGGGTCTGTGTATAATAGCTAAACCACCGCAAATCGAGTTGCGTTTACCGAGTGTATATAAGTTGCCACGATTAACGAATGCTCCAAGTGAAAAATTTTCAATAGTTATACCATCATTACTATCTTTTAACCACGTTCACATAACAGTACAATACAGGTGCGGATCCATGGGGGGGGGGGGTTACCCCACCCCCACCCCCTGCTCAGCTACATAAATTTTTTTGTAAAACAACCTTTTTTATGAGAAAAGTGTCATAATTGTGCTTTATTCTTTATCGTCCGATGGTGCGACAGGATGGGCACTCAAAGCGCGAGATAATGATATAGACTTATGTGATATCACAATTAATGCTTTGCATCAATAAAATTGAATCACAATGTCATCGTATTAATTCATAATAAAAATTGACGTCAAACAAGATGTTGGATTTCTCTGTTTAAAAAGATCAATGTGTATGTATATACGCCAAAATGACGATAGAGACCATGTATTTCTCAAAAAATTTCAAGCCATGGGGGGGGGGGGGAATACATTTTCTCAGGAACCTGGCAACCCCCCTCCTGCAAAAATTCCTGGATCTGCCCCTGTAATATCACAATCAGAATCAGATATATAATTGATAATGGAATTATCATCTATTACAGAATTCCATCCATGAATATTCCATGCAGTTATAGTGATATATTCCGTTGACCAATTATAGTAATATGGAGGGAAAGAATTTGTGCTTTGAAACATCTATGTAAAATAATATTAGGCTTTTGATTAATTATTCTCCATTGTCAATATATTAGTTATGGTATAAGTTAAATTCTGAAACGCAAATTAAATTGGCTACGAATATTGTGACAATAACCAGACATGGTGTCTAAAGACAAGAATGCAGGAATATGATGGCTAGAACAATAGCGTTATCTTTCATATTATTGATTCTAACTTCATAACCACAAATATGGAAGGTATATGCCTGTTATTTTGATACGTTAACTGAGCTATATATTAATGAGCATGTTGGTCATTCACATTCTTCTTTGTTATAAAACATAGATCATATTTGTTGACCAAATAAGGTAACAATTCCTGGCGATGTTCAGTTTGGGGTGCATGTCCTTTCCATATTTAGAACTTAGTTGTTATCAGTCTTTAGATTAACACCTCAAACAAAGGAATAGGCACCTATAAAATAGGGTGGGGAAATAGCATTCGGGAGAGCTCACTCCGCCGGCCACACCAGTCATTTAGTTATTTGAGACTAGGAAGAATTGTAACACTTCCAGTTTGGAGAAATAAAGTATTTTAAGAAAAGAACTTGAACTGTAGTTGTAACTTCGTCACGGAAGAAAACACAGCGTGAAGATTGAATCTTGAAGATTGAACAACTGATAGTACTACACAATCCCTGGGAATGTCCTACTCCTAGCATCTGTTATACAAATCTGGTGTTGACAGCTTAATCCGATTATCGCCAGGAAAAGGAATGGCATTTGTTTTTCTTGATCTCACACCTACAGTTTGGACCCCATTGTTTGATGAAGTGTCGTAGTTTCTATTAGTAGGGGTAGATGATAGTAGACACAGAGAATTCAATTCTTGGATGTAATTTTTAGCTAGATCAATGTGACTGGAATCTATTGTTTTTAATTCTGTTTGTTCGTTGGTAGGCAAAATATTATTGGTAGCAGGCGCTGCATTGGTAAAAGTACCCAAATGCCTAATTAACTGACTGAGGTCGACTGTCAATTGATTTCACCATAATTCTGCCGTCGTTAGTCCACCAACCATCTATCAGTTTGTTTTTGTATAGGTTTCGTTTTCCTAAATAAATTTGACCTGCTTTTAGTCAGGGCTTCGTTTATATAAATCTTAAAAATTTTCTTGCATTATTATTTCTTTTGAGACGTTTTTTTCTTTTCCAAAACCAGGGCTCTGCATTGATAACTTATAAATCGAACTATAATGTTGCGGCAAACACCAGAACGTACCAGACAAGCGTGATGCATTATGCGGCAGAACTTCTGCCAATATCATGTAATGAGAGTTGAACATGCAAATGATTAGTGATTTCACAATTTATAATGTCAAGAATTATGTAATCTGTGTTATCCCTTTCACCTGGTCCAATTTCACATATACCACTGAACTTTTTGAGGTAGCGAAATTATAGGACTTGAATGAGGTTTAAACTTTGTCAATGCAGATTTGGTTTCTGCTCAATGGCATTCTGGTGTGTTTTGATTTTAAATATTAATATGTTTAGCACTCCCACTTGTATCAACTATCAACCTGATGAAATATCAGTAGATTTATTGAATCTCGCTAGATGCAACAAAATTTTTATTATTCATGCCATAGTATATTGATGGTACATCTAGAAAACTGTTGTTTCATTTGATTTATATTGGATTCAGACAGGTCAAGCTTTGAACATCAAAGTGAATACATTCAATAGATACCAGTCGAATCCTCAAGATTTCATTCCTAACCAAATTTCATAAAATTGACAGTAGTGGAAAAACCACTTTAAATCAGTTATAACAAGTGCCTTTGGGTCTTTTGAAATATCCAGTATTTTCTTTATATTTCAGTATTTGGGATTGGGAAGAAATATTGAAGCATTACAAGCCTGGAGAAATGCCACCATTATTAAACCCACACATGTGAATGCCTGGACCAATACTCTTATACTACTAGACACAATGGGTAAGATACATTAAATGGCATATTTTAACTCCATCTCCATAAATAAACTGTATTATTCTGTATTTTGGTTAATTACATCAAAAATTTTTTTTTTTTTTTTTTTACTCACTTTCTTGTAGTAAAGTCACATTTAATGCTCAAATTAATCCTACCTAAATGGTATTTTAATAGTCAAGTTTAATATTAAAACCAAGGTCCCATGCATACCATTGGCAACACGATAAAATCCTCTAACAGTTGGGAATTGAAATAAGAGTAGGCTGTAGCAGTGCATAACATAATAACCATCTTCTTTAACCGGGTTGGTGCCGAACCTGTTACCGGTAAATCACATTTCAATTCTTTTATGTTTATTTTGGCCTTTAAACTACAGTAAAATCTAAGGATGTGCCGCCCTGTTTGATTTCTGTCTACCCAATAAAATTGACAATTTGTCAGTGTTGAAAATGAAGTCTCAAGAAAATTGGCATTATTAAGTTGTCTAGTGCACTCGATGTCATTATCTAAGATGGACTGTGAAAATAGAAATTATAAGATCATGAACCACCTCACCAGAACATGTAACTGGTTACTATGCTCTTAGATATCAATGCAATGTACATGTAAGTCAACAGAGTTATAATAAGATTAGACTGACAAATAAACTGGAATGACTTAAGTCTTGAAAATGTGTTTATTTTATACAATATATTTATATTTGTGTGTGTGTAGGTGATTTTAAGACCGCTGTAGCAGTAGGTAAAGAAGTATTAAAAGTTTTACCACGTGAACCACAGATACAGTTTAACCTAGCCAATATTTATGGCAAATTAGAGAAATATGTGGAAAGTGAACAGTTCTTTCTAAATGCAATCAGGGAAGAGCAGAATAATTCCAAGTTCCATTTGAATCTTGGTAAGTAAAGGCAACAATTACAATTATGTTAACTATACAGGGACCACAGATGGAGTCAAGAGAGAACTCAATGATAAGCTAGAATCTCAATTTTATCTGAGAAATATATCACATGTTGGGGGTAATGACTACCACGATATATAAAAGGAAAATGTGTATTTTTCATTCCAGTCTCACAAACAAAATAAGGTTACTGATAACAACAATATATTTGTAGTTGGGATTCCGAGAAGAGGAGGGGGTTTGGATGGCCGAATAGTTAGCGCGTGCATGCTGTATCATAAGGTCTGTCATTGAGTCAACTGGCGTGTTTTCGATTCCCCGGTTGTATGTGACACGGAGTAGAGTCGCCTGTCCAACCTTGTGGGTTTTCTCCGGGTCCTCCGGTTTCCTCCCACTGCTAAAGACCTACGAATTATCGAAATAAAATTGAACCATATGTTAGTCCTGAAATGACCTAGATTGTGTTGAGTGGACATTAAACCCCTTGAGAAAAGGATGTGCTGTTTTGTGGACAATATTCTCACTTGAAGCATACACGTAGTAAGTGAAGTGAACCATCTTTAGTCTCGATATTACTGTATGAATACAATAACTCTGCTAATTGAGGTATAGTAGAATGTTCAACCTTGGTGTAGATGTTGATTAGGTAATGTTCAAACATTTGATTCTAATTGAGAGTGATGAAACTTGGTGTATAGTTTCAAGACATCATATCTTTGACCAGTTTGATGCAGGACGGAGGGGCTGACAAGGACAGCTGTCTAGTCATTCGGATGGGACGAAAAACCGAGGTCCCGTGTACACATTGGCGTGCACATTAAAGATCCCTTGACAGTTGGAATTCGATATAAGAGTAGGCTGTAGTGCCGCTGTCCGGGCAAAATTTCCCTCATAGCACACTGTATGGCGTATGCCCGTCTTCATTAGCCCAGTTCGGAGCAAAACAGTAGGACGTTAAACCCCATTTCATTTCATTTCATTTGACCAGTTTGATGATAAACAATTTGTTTGCTCGTTGCATTATAAAAAAGATAAATGTGCAAGTAATTAATGAGTCATCTATTTATTTTGGAGATAGATGCAGGGACTTCAACCTTACAGTTGGCTTGGTTTTTTTAACTTTAAATTTGAAAACTAATTAAATGATTATATTTTTTTCAAGGTGTATTATACCACAGATGGGGAAAGTATGACAAAGCTATTAATGCCTATAATTCTGCACTAAAACTAGACCCAAATAACCCAACCATTCATGAAAATATTGCCATGTTAGATCGACAGAAAGACAACAGATGAAAATGAGAGACCATTATCAGATTTTTTATGTGTTTTAACAAGGGCTCTTAACTCAGTTATATTTGTCAGTTTGGTACGTCAACGATAAGAAATTAAAAACTTTGAAATCTAGCTGTTGATCAGTTTAGTACCCATGATTAAACTTGAAAACACTTGTATTAATAATTATATATAAATTTATTATGTTTTATAGCAATGAAAACATTAAAGATGTAAGACTTTTGTAAAGAGCTGGCCATTCTTGCTATAATAATTCAAAAATAGTGAAAAATGAAAATATTGAATATTTCATTCAAATTATTTTATTTTAAGTGAAGTTATGAATTTTGGAAGATGTAGCATCGATTGTTTATTATCATAGCAACAGTACTAAACAAACATGACTAAGTCTTGATTATCCGTTAAATTTTTAAATCTTGTGGATGTTCTAATCCATTCAAATCTCTGCCATCCAATGGTCTAGAGAAATGATTATTGGATGGTCACATTGATAAATGTCTAAATAATAGTTTATATAACATTTAAAGCCAAAATAAAGACCTGTCATTTATAGATTTAGCTCTTACATAATGCATCTTTAAACATGCAAAAAATGCACATGTCAAAAAGTATGAATTGATAGCCCTCAATAAAAACATCTCTTTAGTTAGTTATTGCTTTGATATTATGTTATTGGTGAATGGTCTATAGAATAGATTTCTTTTAAATGGTGGATGTTGTAGAAATATTGGCTAGTACTTTATTCTTAAGAAGAATAAAACCAGAGTGATATTATTATTTTAAAGATTGTGAAAACTGTGTATAAATTATCAATGATATTTGAAACTAAAAATTTATAATTTTTTAAGAAAAAGTAAAGATACTCTTTGTTTTCAGTGCATTTTAATGCAAAAGATACATCAGATATAAATTAAAATAAGAGATTTTCCAAATTAAAAATCTTCATGAAATTCACGTTAAAATTGTTAATGATGAAAACCTCTTGTCATAAAATTTAGTTTTAAAATTCAGTATTTTCAGTGCCATTTCAGGCTGAACTTTTTCGATACAAGATGCGATCAAATTGCTTGTTTTTGATGCAAGATTGTAATCAACTGACTGTTTTTGATGCAAGATAGTAATCAAACTGACTTTTTCTGATACAAGGCTGTAATCAAACTTTTTGTTTTTGATATGTGGTTTAATCAAATTGACTGTTTTAGATACAAGATGTAATGAAACTGATTGTTTTTGATACAAGGTTGTGATTTGTTGTGTTATCAAATTTTTATCTCCATGTGCATAGTTTTATTAGTGTTCAAGATTTTGTATATTTTATTGCATGTCTGTTTGGAACCTTCTACATTTCTTAAGACTGTGTTTTTCAAATCACATATTCATTTAATTTCTTTGCATCACATATTTTTATGCTTGTTTATAATAAAACTACTGATATTTAATTAAATGTTTCTCATATTAATCATTTATAAAGCTTTACTTATATGATCTCATTTATATATAAACATCTTAAAATTACTTAGAAATACTCATTAAATGATAATAATTAAATTTGTTCTATTTTATTGATCTATTATCCTCTAGAGTATAAAGCCACTCATCATTGTTTAGGTGTTATAAATCGAATCCCTTGCAAAACATTGTGAGAGTTGGATCTCTAAAAAGAAAGTAAGTTCAAAAATGGTTCAACTCCATTCAGTATTTACTACAATATGATGAGTTCCAAACATTCAAGATTGTCTCTTTAGACAATATAAACTAACCAGTGCCACCTGTAATGTTGGATAAAATCTTTTGATGGACCACTATTCAAACTGATTGAATCAAAAGATTATCGTTGATGTTTTGGTTTTGTTTTCTTAATGAGACGTTAAATAATTAATTTCTGTATATTTTAGCATGGGTTAAGGGGTGAAAAGTTAGAAATTGTCCAATAAATGAAAATGATGGTTGACGGCTTTAAGTAATAATATAATGTTTTAAATTTATATTGATTATTGGCATGAATATTGATGACAGTATATTTTGACATCAGTGAGCAGTGAGTTTTTATGCATGTATCTTATTATGGGTGTACATGTATAATAATATATAATTTTTAAAAATTATATTCTAAGTCCAGTACATGTTTCTACTGGACTTAGAATATAATTTTTAAAAACCATCTACACAGTGTTGTGAAGTCTGTTGCTGGGGATTCTCTTTTTTGATATTTTTCACGGATTGGTTCCTGCTCCTCCCCGGATGCATCACTGAGATCCAGACTTGCCTGCACTGTTCTAGGGAATCTTCCGCCCTCCTTAATTATCGAGTGTGGGGGTTTTATCGTCCTCTATTTGGATTTTCTATAATATATAATTAATATGCTTTTATGATCCCCTGTCTAGATATTCTTGTGTATTTTGTTCTTTGTTTTCTTGAAGCTTTACACATGTAATTTTTCCAGATGATCTAGGTAATTTATGGCTGCATGAATTATTTAATTTTATTGAATAATCAGAGTGAACTTTGATCAAATTGTAAATTAAAATTTTATAGAAAATATTTAGTAGAAATTCCGGTGAATTTTTATTTCATTACATTCCATCCAATAACATTATTCCCTAGATCTGCACATGATCTCTTAACATGTATTTTTACAGAAAAAATATTTGTCTTGGGATCTTAAATTTGGTGACTGACTGACATTGTTATACCTAAATAATTATATCAAAAGGCTGCGGAAATATAGTGCATAAAATTTCAAATTTATTTAGACAAAATAATTTTATTTAAATTGACAATATTTATTAAGAAGTAAATATGTGAATATGTAGTCTCTAAATATTTATAGTACATATATTTTTGATGAGGATTGTCCAAATAAGACAAAAGCAATATTTTTATTTGCTTCATGTGTCATTCATTTACTCATTTCATTTTATAGATAAAATCTAACTCATTCATGGCATTATAAGTAATCAATTTTGAATTTATTAATAGATAAAATCTAAAATTTTGAATATGTTATGAGTAATTAATTTTGTGAGAATACATATGTCACAATATCATTTCATTCAGTGTTTACAATGGAACCATAAACTATTTGTTTTGCAAGATCATAAATTTGCTATTTTCTTGTGTAGTTTTAAAATAAGGCAATACAAAAAAATTATTTTAGTTCTCAGACAATCCTTCTAAAAAATCTCATCACGTTGATGATTGTATCATCATCCAGAATCATTTATGATTGTTAATAGCATTTATTAGGCTTGCGTCCTCGATAATTGAGCCTAAGGTACATCACCAGATTCATTTGAATTTTTTATCGAGTTACTTCGTGTAACCGGGGGGAAAACATTTATGCACAGTAATTAATGAGACTTTTTATTGTTTGAAATAAAAACTGGTCATACAACTCTTTTTAAGTGATGCAGGAGTATCTGAGAACCAAAATATTTTTTATATATGGCCTAATAATGGCAGCAACATTAATGTATTTTTTCTATGTTATATATCTCTATTTATAAGACACTGCGAATAGGCTATATAAAGATATTTGATAATCTTATATTTTTATTAGTAATCTGTATAAATTATGACAAAAATATGCTAATACCATTAATTAGTGATTGCTATTAGTATATATTCTGACATCGAATCTTATTTGCGGCCATTTTGTAATTTTTTTGTATAATTTGACAGCATTTTTATTTTTATCTCATTATAATATTTTATATCTTTTGTCAACAAAATTTTTTTTCCCAATAATCATTGATGCTTTTGTGTTTCAACATAAATTTGAAGTTTTACTAAACATTTTTTTTGTATGTGAGAAATTATGTCCCAAAATTGAGAATTTATGCTCATAATTTTTGCCAAACATTTCATTGATAATATTATAGCTTTTGTAATTTGAGTTACAACTCATATTTAGCTCATTAATACAATAGTATACTAAATTATATGTAATTTTATTAACATTCCAATTGAATAATTTAATAATTAGATTATAATACATTATGATTGGGTCATTAAGTGTGTATATATTCATAGATAATTAATTTTTTGAATATTAGCGTGTGACATATTGCTTTTGCCTGTTGAAGTTGCAAGGGTTTTATTTTATAATATAACGATTTCCTTAATGTAGACATATTGTTGTCGTCCATTGTCCGTTGGTATGTCTGGTGTCTGGACACAACTTCTTGTTTACACTTTTAAAGGACAGAGTTTTTGTCAGATTTTTTCATTTGTACATGTGGTTGTAAGGAATGTCCCCATCAAAATAAACATGTTTTCTATTTTAAATATCGGTTAGAATACAGAGCAGGGTTCTTGATAGAATGTATTAAAACTCAGTGAAGTTGTTTATTAAGTTATAGGGAAATCCCTCTTGAATTTTAGAGTTTTTGGATTGTATATGGTTATCTTTCCATTCACATGGTAGGGTTTGGTAGAGTTATGTTTTCATTCACATTTGTAAACATAGAGTATATTTGATCAATTTAAAACCTGAAAAAAATTGGTTGTGAATACAATTTAACTTAAGATGAATATGATTATAATATAACATTGGTTGTGAATAGCCTAAAAATTATTTATATATGAGAGATATTGCGCACACTTGTAGGAAATCAATTAAAATGTTCTTGAAATATTTCACATATGACTTTGGTTGTGAACAGCTGGTGACTGTTTTAATTATGCAAAAGTCTTTATAACACTGGTATATATTTTCTTCTCTTTTTTTAACAAAAACCCCCATAACTTTATAGAGAGTTATTATTATATTTCTTGTTATTTGTATTTGACTGCAATAAATTCTGTTTAAGCTTCATTCTTACTGCTTTAATAAAATACCTGTTTCGTCTGTAGAAGTAGTCTGATGCCGAGGTGAAGCTGTTGTTGATTTCCCTGATCAAATGTAAAGCAAAATATCTGTATTCCATGTTTGTCTTTACAAAGGGAATGAAATGAAATGGGGTCTAATGTCCTACCTTTTTGCCCCCCACTGAGCTAATAAAAGACAGTCTTATGCCATACAGTGTGCTATCCAAATTTTCTCGGACAGCAGCACTACGTCCCACTCTTAATATAGAATTCCAACTGTCAAGGGTTCATTTTCGTACACACCAATATGTACACAGGACAAAGGTTTTTGTCTCATCCAAACAACTAGACACTGTCCTAGCCAGGTCTTCCGCCATGCACCACTGACAAGGGGAAACCATGTTGGAAAATCGTTGGAAACTTTCTCAGCCAACACCTTGATCAAACCCCAGACATCCTGGTTATTGAGCCATGGTGCACGATAGAACTTCTATTACAATATTAGCAGTGAAATAAAAGTGTGCTGTATAATCATTTGTCATGGTTACCTTTCAATGGACAATATATTTTAGAATTGTGGTGGTGTGTGTGGCTATAATATGGTTGATAGTGATATTGTACTTAATCATGAGGTAATCATTTTTTGTAGGTCCGGACTTCCGTTCACAATAGTTTGTGGGCCCGCTAAAGATCACAATTTTTATCCAATTTGTGTGAAACTTAAATGAGCTAAATCTCTATTCTTTGGCACCTAGAAATGGACACAAATGGGTCGCAACGATAATAATGTAATATGAATGTATGTAACCTGATTTACCTCCAATCGTTTCTGTTTTTACTGTAATTTCTAATCATTTATGTTCGGCAAAATGTTTCAAATTGAATGGCAGTCTTTGGCGTCTGGTTATTCCAGTCTACACCAGTATTCTGTGGAAAATGTTTAGCCTCGTTTTAGTCGCTTCATTACAAATGGTGCTCGAAAGCATTCTGGCACGCGATTCGTGTGCCAATGTTAAAATTTTCATTGTGAATTATATATTGTATATTCGAAGCTCATCTTTTCACAGTAAGATGTCAATGTTGATTTAAATTGACCAATAAGTTGTGTTTGCAATGTCGAAGACTGGATGATATTGTGTTAAATCCTTTCCTCCTTTAATATAATTAATTTTTATATCTAAAAGATGTCAGATCGGTTCGATCTTTGCACACATCGGATCATAACTTCCTGGATTATTGCCCATAACTGTACGAAAATCCCATACATGGGTTTGGGGGTTTTGATAAATGTTCAACTGTATGTTTATTTAAAGGGCTAATCCCGATATTTTTTGGAGAATAAAACTGCTTAATTTTGTGTTAAAATCCCTTAAAATTCTCTAGCTGAGGGCCGAGCAACTAACTCAATATTTGTGATAAGTTTTCAAACCATTTAAACCCGTCAGTCTTCGTCTGGAAATGGAGACCGGTGTCCCAAGCTGTATTATGCGGTGTCTGGATAAAACCAGACTTTTATTTTATAAAAATAACGTGTAGTTGAAATTTACCTTCCGTTATCAAGTACAGCACATGGGTCATTCACTATATAGACCTCTCAAGGAACGGGAATCGATTATCAGGTCACCCAACGAAAAAACTGACCCGAAATCTTAAAAGGGTTACGTGTCCGGATAAGCAATTTTGACATTCACTTCCAAACGACTCAATAATTTGAGCTGGAATTTTGAGAGAAGGTAAATACCCCATTCCTCTATATTTTGGCGCTTAAATTTCATACGTACTGCGACTTTTATCGGGATAGTCCCTTCAAGGTGGCTGATTTAGGACACGCAAAAAAATAAAAATATCTCGAGCGCTCGGGGTAATTAAGTCAAGCGCTCGAGATAATACAATCCGGCGCTCGAGATAATACAATCTCTTAACCGATGTTTCAAGCTGTATAATTTTGTGCATTATTTAATGATAAACTTCAGGAACGAAACCCATCGACAATACTGCATTCCCCAGAGTCACGCCCCACTCTCTACAGTTTTTAACATTATTTTTTTTTAAGAATTAGTGTAATGCTTGGGGCCATGGGAAGAAGAATCCTCTTGATATTTAGCGTTGAGTGACTTTCTGTTCAGGAGTTACACCCGACTCCTTTTGAAATAAACCTTGTGAACCTTATAGAGGCTACAGCTTTTAACCGATTTGATAAATTTGGTGTGGACACGATAGAGACTATATTTTGAAGCACTGTAGTTTTGAAGCACTGGGGTCATGAGGGGACGAACCTTATCGATTGTCCCTGTTCTCCACCCATCTCTTGCAAAATGTGGGCGTATCTTCCATGGCAACCACTTGATGTTTTTAAAATGATTTCAGATTTCTTGGTCCGACAATTGTTTTGCATGCACCCCCGTGTGTGGAGAGCCTTTGGGGTGAGGGGTTACCGTAGAGTTCTATAAGCGGTTGACTACCATTTTTTATTCATTCTTTCAATTTCCCCGACAATCAACGACAATTAAGCGCGTGTGATCATACCAGATCCGGACGCAAATCATCTCTTTTAAATCGCAACCTTAATCGCAATTCTGTAAAATGTTGGTCTCGGAATGTGTAGGTTACTAGCGTACCTTTGTAACGAATCGATTTGAGTATGTCTATTATAAGTCGTCTCTTGAATGAGCCGCAGTGGCTCAGTGAGTGGGGCAGTGGTTAACTAACAAGAAGGTCCAGGCTTCAATCAAAGCCTTGGTCGAGAAAGTCCCCTGATTTCCCTTTGTCATTGGATAGTTTCCAGTCGTTGGTTGGGAAGAAAACCGAGGTCCCATTTTATGGGAAAAATTTCACTCATTGCACAGGAAAGTAGGGTATTAAACCCCATTTCATTCTTTTTGTGTCTCAAGATATTCTGTCAGGGGCGCCGAAACGGCGCTAGGGCCAGGGTCAATTCCGAGAACGCTGTTTAGAGCGCCCATAGCATTCCAAATTCCAACATTAAACCCTTTACAATACATGATAATGAAAAAGACAAAAGCCTGATTATTCCCTGATTATTCACAATTTTCGTATTATGAGCAATGCATCTCATAAAAAATTATTTTTAATTCGACATTCAATACACCAATCTTCATCAAGAAAATAGAATAAGCTTTTTGAACGAGACATTAGATTTAGAGACACGATTCTTGCAAGAGCTTATATTCAGGAGCAAGTGTTGACGAGACACTAATGAGACTATAATCAACCGAAATAATTGATGCACTGATCAGATTTCACAATAAATTCAGATAATCTCATTAGGGCATGGGTATACAAGTATACCTCAGAAAAGGGCAGGGCACCATTTGTATACCCTCCGGGTTCCGGCGCTCCTGTATTCTGTATAAATTGAATGTAATGTAGAACAGACTTTGTTGTTGCATGAATTGCAAGAAGGATCGTTATTTGACAATTGTGTTTCCGTTCTTTGATGAGCTGTTCACTTTCCCCTCGAAAGAGGAATCATAATATACTAAGCAGCAAAAGAAACGTCAGGTTGGTATGTTACTCTGAATAGGCGCATTGCATAAAACTTTCCAAATGTTTTTATTGTATATTTGTGACCACATCTCCAACTTTACCTGAGCAATAAGGCTCCTTCCTAAACACCGAATTGAACGCAGGAAATGTTCTCAAAAACGCAACCTGACTTCTGAGATGGTAATGTGTTCTCCATGATTTTCATGTAGTAGTAAAGTTATTTATTTCAGCGACATGTGTTATACAAAGAAGACATGTGAAAATCATTATAAAATACTAACACCCGGCCCATTGGACCTATATGTCACTATTTAACATACACAAATTAAGTCTAATACAATAAGAATTCATACGAATGATCAGTAAGTTGAGTATTTACAATAATTACAATGTCTATTCGAGCTCTGAGCATTCCTTATAATATCAATTGAAAAGTTTGTTTCTACGCCATAAGTAAGCTTAAGTCAAACATTTAGCACATCGAGTTATATTAATTTATCATTATCTTGTATTTGTGAGAATTGTAAATCTGATATCGCTTCATTAAACCAATATTGTCGCAGATCGCTATATAAGGAACAGTTTAAAATAAAAGTTTTTCACTTTCAGTACAGTAATGTACACATTTGGCAGGTTCGATCTTCGAGCTTTTCACCTATAAACCGCCCTGTCTCAACACGAAGGGGTAAAACCCCGCATCTAACCTGCGCCAGAATTTTTGACCGTTCATTTCTGGGCAGATTAAGGACTAAGTAATTCTCAGTTTTAAACTCATTTTTAAAAACGGCATAGGTTCTGAGTTTGGGGGAGTTGCTTAATTTGACCTGCCATGAATCCGCTACATTTGTCCACATCTTTGATTTTGTTACATTGATATTTATCGTCAGTTTATTGGTATAGTATTCAGACAGATTGAGTTTCTCGAATAAGACTTTCATATCAGCACACCAGTTTTTATTAGAGGTAGCACAGCGGAAATCGTTTTCAAACAGTTTCTTTGTCAATCTATTGTCGTCTAGACGTAATAGTCTATTGCAGAGTTGAAACATTTTAATCCATCTTCTTTGTGTGCAAGGCATCCACTCAATATGGTCACTCATTCCTAGCAAAGGAGTGAATCGGTGAACTCCTAGTAGAAATCACACAGCCCTGTTTTGTATCATTTCAAGTAAGTTGTAGGATTTATATCCCCACATTGCAGCTCCATAGTCGCTAATAGGTACGACACAGGCCTCGTATAATTTCGTAAAGGTTTTAAAACCAATGTATAAAATTTTGATATAACCGAACCAAGGGCTCGCCAAGCAGCAGTGCTTAGAGTATTGACTGTGTTATCAAACTTCGAGTGTTCTTGAAAAATAACACCCAAATATTTGTAACTTTCAACAGTATCGATTTCTTCCCGACCAAGATTAAATTTAAAGTCACTTCTTGTTTGTCGTGAAGTGAATGCATTTGGATTTTGATGTGTCGATAAGGAATTTCCATCGCATACACCAT